GTTGCTGTATTCAGTTCACTAGTATCTTATTTAGGATTTTTGCATTTGTGTTTACGAGAGACATTGGTGTGTAGTTTTCTTTTTGTGTGTTATCTTTACCAGGTTTTGGTATCAGGATAATATTGGCCTCGTAAAATGAATTGGGAAGTATTGCTGCCTCTTTGATTTTATGGAAGAGTTTGAGAAGAATATGAATTAAATCTTCTTTGAATGTTTGGTGGAATTCACTGGCGAAGCCATCTGGTCCTGAACTTTTACTTTTTGGTAGCTTTTCTATGTTTGTTTTAATTTCCATACTGCTGATCGATCTATTTGGATTTTCCAGTTCTTCTTGATTCAGTCCAGAGAGGTTGTATTTTTCTAAGTACTGGTCCATTTCTTCTAGGTTATTAAATTTGATGTTATATACTTTTTCATAGTATTCTTGTATGATCCCTTGTATTTCTGCAATGTCTGTCATAATTTCCCCTCCTTCATCCCTGATTTTGTTTATTTGTGTCCTTTCTCTTTTTTCTTTAGTGAGTCTAGCCAAGGATTTGTCAATTTTATTAACATTTCAAAGAACTAGTTCTTTGTTGCATTTATTGTTTCTATTGTTTTTTTTTTATTTTGTTTTCAATTTCATTTATCTGCTCTAATTTTGATTGTTTCTTTCCTTCTGCTGACTTTAGGCTTCATTTGTTCTTCCTTTTCTAGTTTTTTAAGATGAAGCGTTAGGTTGTTTATTTAGGCTCATTCTTCTTTTTGGAGATCAGCCTGTAATGATATGAACTTTCTTCTTATGACCGCTTTTGCCGTGTCCCAAAAGTTTGATATGTTGTACTATCATTATCATTTGTTGCCATGTATCTCTTGATCTCTCTTTTTATTTCTTCTCTGACCCAGTTATTCTTCAGCAGCATATTGTTTAATCTCCACATATTTCTGGTTCTTTCTGCTTCCTTTTTACAGGTGATCTCTAGTTGCAAAGCATTATGATGCAAAGCATCAGGGAATATGGTTGGTATGATTTCAACCCTCTTATATTTGTTGAGGCTATCTCTGTGTCCCAGTATGTGGTCGATTCTTGAGAATGTTCCATGTGCACTAGAGAAGAATGTATAAGCAGCTGTTTTGGAGTGAAAGGCTCTGTAAATGTCAATTATGTCCAGTTGGTCTGATGTATCATTTAAGGATGTTATTTCCTTATTGATTTTCTGTTTGGATGATCTGTCCATATCTGACAGTGGGGTATTTAGGTCCCCTACTATGATGGTGTTTGGGTCTGTTTCTCCCTTTAGTTCTGTTAGTAATTGCTTTATGTATTTTGAGGCTCCCTGATTGGGAGCATAGATATTAATAAGTGTTATGTTTTCTTGGTGCATGATTCCCTCAGTATCTTTCTTTATCTTTTTTTATTTTGAAGTCTATTGCATCTGTTATTAGTACCGCTACTTCTGCTTTTTTCTGAATGCCATTTGCTTGAAAGATCATTTTCCACCCTTCCACTCTGAGTCCATATTTGTCTTTGGAGCTGAGATGTGTCTCCTGGAGGGAGCATATGGTTTTGTTTTTTGATCCATTCTGCAACTCTGGGCCTTTTTATTGCTGAGTTCAGAGCATTTACATTTAGGGAGATTATTGACATATAAGGTTTTCCTACAGCCATTTTATCCTCAGTGTTTAGCTCAGTGTTTCCATTTTTTCCTTATTCTTGTATCTATGTCTGTTTTTTTATTTGGTTGGGTTTTGTGGATTTTCCCTCTGGTCCTTCTTGTTTTGCTTTATGTCCTTAAGTTCTTCGACTCTATTTCCTAAGCTTATTATCTCATTTTTCAACTCATGCAGTATATTTTTTATCTCCAGAAGGTCTATTTGGTTCTTTTTGAGGGTTTCAAGCTCCTTGCTAAAGAACTCATTCTGCTTATCTAGTTGTTTTTTCAATTTCTGAAATTGTTGATATGAATAGTTTTGGATCTCATTTTTTCAGAAGTACCATCCTGAATTCTCTGTCATTTAAGTTGCATATTTTTATGTCTGTAAGCTTATTTTCTGGAGATTTTTCTCTTTTTTTCTGAGATGCCTTGTCACCTTAGTTATTCATGGTGCTTAATGGACTATTTCTCCACCTGGGCATTAATGGAAGTGTATTCTGATTTTTTTTCCAAAAAGATTTATTATATAATGGTCCCTAGCCTACTGCAAAGAAGGTGTTTTTCTTTTGGTTTCCAGTAGTTGGTGTCTAAGCCTCTTGGATCTCTGCTTTATATAAAGTCTTAATAATGTCTTTTTTTTTCCCTCACAGATGTTTAATCATGCTCGCTACCCTCAGTCTCAGTTCCTGTCAGTGTTAGCAACAATTTTGGTAGCGTTGCTCAGATTCCCCTGAGGCTCCGTGGTGTTCTGTCTCGGAGGGTATGGGAGTAGGGGCCTTCTGAGTTAGGGGATGGGGGCAGTGGCTCAGCCTTGGTTTTGCAACCACAGCTGGTAAAAATCAACTGTTATTTTTATGTCATCCCTGCTTCTCTGCCATCCCCGTTTCTCTGCCTTCTGCCCTGATGACTGGGCACTGCCGCCAGCCGCGGGGAGCTCACAGCTCTCCCAGTCAGGGCCATTCAGGAAACTGGCTGCTCCTTCTCTCCTTCCCTTCCTCCTATGGGGAGCTACATCTGCAAGAGGCAACTTCTTTGTTTCTCCCAGTCCACTGTCCAACACCCAGGGTTCTGACCTGCTGGTATGCAGTGTGGGTGTTTTTTGTTGAGTTTTAGATGTTCAGCTTATTGTTGTTTCAGGGGGGGAGATCTGGGGACAACTCTCACTCTGCCATGTTTCTGATGTCAATCCAGTTTTTAATTTTTAATGGTTTTTCTGCGAATAAAAAATGGACCACAGGTAAGCATATAACATATACTGAATTGAAAATTAAAAAAAAAAAAAACTTGCAGTCATTAATGCAATTGAGAATAATTATCAAACCTGAAAATGCATTGTCAGCACATTAGTGTTATACCTCAGAAAGAATCAAATATGTCTCTACATTGGTTATATATAGAAAGAAAATAGTGCAGATTTGAGGCTAATAAATATTGGTATTAACTAATAGTTGTTTAATTGTTTGCAAAGCTGTTTTACAGTTAGAGAAAAAAATTGAAACATCATTATAATTTCTGCCTCTCTGTTCTAAATGAATCTAACTAGGACCTGGTTCATAGCATCTCTGGATTCACCTATAGCACAACTCAGTTTGAGAAAGTTTTGGAATGAAGTTTAGCTCACCGTTCTCATTTGTTTTTAGCATCCATGCTTTCATGGCAATTCCTAAGTTAATATTTTTATTGATGTTTCTCCATAGATTGCAAAATTGGGATCTCTTCTAGAGTCAAAAGAAGACCACTGCAACAGACTCATTGAGGAAAATGACAAGTATCAGAGACATTTAGGCAACTTAATAAATAAGGTACAGATTTTCTTACAGCAATATTTGCCTCTTAAAAGCTATGCCAAATATTAAAATAATAGAATTTTGGAGCTAAAAAGGATCTGAGGGATGATATAACACATTTATATTGATTTACTTCATAAAAGGTCCCCATTAACCTTTTAGCTGAAAGCTAGCAAAGAACATTGTGTGTATCTATTCTTCTGCTGTCAGCAACTTCGGGTCTTAGTATTACTGCTTCACATTGAAGAAAATTATAAATCCTGCCAACTCAGTGTTCTAGTTTAAGTCTTTTAAAAAGCACATTAACTTTAACCAAATGGATTGTATTCCTGAGTTGACACATATACCATTTGTCTGGAATATGACTCAGATCATAGTTGACTCATTACGGGTGTCCCTTTTTTTGACACTTCACTTTCTGCCTGATGAAGAGACACATTATAATTCCATTTCTATTCGTATTTCTGATTTCAAAATGTAAGGAAGATCTTTTGACTATTGTAAAAACTTTCATTGATGGGAGTCATATAATTGAATTAAACTTCAACTTGTAGAGATTTTAAAAAACAAAAAAATAAATTAAATTAAAATTTTAGAATTTATCCAAATTCTAAAATTTATTTATCCAATTTATCTTTACCTTATTTTTAAAAGGTTAGATCATATGAAGAAATTATTGAATGCGCTGACCAAAGGCTCAAGATATCTAACTCCCAGATTGCACAGTAAGTTGAAAAGCTTAATTTTTAATTTTGTAAACATTTACTGATATATTATTTTGCTCTCTGGCTTGCTAAATTCATTTTTTCTTAGACTCCTAGAAGAAGGGAAAATGCAGTTTTACAGATTAAGATCATTCTTCAATAATGTAATTAGTCTACTCAATGTCCGGACTACTTGAACAACCAGATTTTCTGCTTCTTTTCTCAGCGTTCCCTTTGATTTCGGGGTGGGGGTGGGGGGGAGTTGAAAGAATTAATGAGAAAAAGCCAAAAATTTTAGAATATTTTGCCATGGTATTCAAGTAAAATAACCTTCAGTGCTTGAATTTATTCACAAAAAGTTTTTGAATGCACACCAAATAAAATATACACGCATATATCAGTACAAAGTAAACTTTCTCATTAGAATGAGATTCAGCTTGAAACACTCCAAAATTTGTGTTTTTAAATTCTGCAGAATTTTTCCACTTATTTATTATCTTTATTTCTCACATGCTTCTTCCTCCAGTTTCATCTGTACTGTGCTGACTATCTCTAGAGCTTAAGCACCCTCCAAAATATGAACTTTCAGTAGGGCCAACTCGCCATAAGACAATTGAAAGACAGTGTAGGTATTCGTACCTTGGAAAGTTTGCTTTTGTTTTCCACTGTTGTTTTTAAGCAGAATGAATTGTAAAAAAAAAAAAAAAAAAAATTGCTCATTTTTCAGACTAACGCAGGCAAGTTATAAATTTGGAGGGGAAAAAGGGATGTTGTTATACACTCAAGAGAGGTAAAACTAGACCCTTCCCTGGCTTAGAAACAAGAAAACAGCCCAATCATCATAGACTCATGAATATAAAAATAAAGAGTACTCTAAAAACAGTGTCAAACCATCACTTTGGCCTTATTGCTTTGCTCCAGTTATTTTTAAAATTCAAAAAATTTTTAAATTATATTTCAGCTGAGTTGTTGATTTGGTTTGTGTTCAAGAGGAGACCTGGTATCTGAGTTCTATAAACTTTATTAAAAAATTACCTGCGGCTCCTTATTAGAATTGCCTTGAATGCTTTTTAAAAATATATCCAGTGCCCAAGCCCTATTCCCAGATCAAATAAGCTAAAATATCTGGTGGACCTGGACATAGGTATATTTCAGAAGTTGTCCAGGCAATTTTAATGGACAGGTTGAGAACCATAGAAGATATTATCTGAGTTTATTTGCTTTAAGTGATCAGGATTGCCATTTATTTTTTTTTATCAAATATAGTTTGTTATATCCACAAATAACCGTATTTTTATTTAATTATAGTGAATTAGCTTTGATCTCCTTAAAAGGTATATGCTGCTTCAAAAATTATCAAATGTACACATCGTTAGAGCAATGTTTCCTTAAATTGCTGCTAGTCTATTATGTTAAAATTTAGCATTGTTACAGTGTCTTTCTTCAAATACATTCACAAGGTATTCTGTAAGTTTTCAATTCACATACCTTGGATTTTAGAAACATCTGCTTACTTACAAAAGCCATTAATGATATCTAATTTTTCTAAAAGACTAAAAGAAGGTACTTAGTGAAGTCCATTTTGTATAAGCAGCCAGAGTGGTCTTTCTGAAATATAAATCTGATCATGCCCTTAAAACAGTCTAGTGATTTTCTATCACCTTTAGGTAAAAACAAAATTCTTAGAATGGTGAACAAGCTCCTTCATGATAGAGCTCCTGACTGTCTATCCAATCTCATCTCACCATTCCCTGCCTTGCTTTCAGCCACACTGGAGATAGTATAGATCCTCAAATTGACTGCATTCTCTTTTGCTTCAGGACTTTAGCATATGTTCCTCCACCTGGAGTGCTCAGGCTACCTGCTCCCCAGTTATCACACACTATCCTTCAAATCTCTGCTCAAATGCCCTTTCCTTAAAGGTACATTCACTGTTTTCCCAGTCTAAGTCACATGGTTTTTCCACAATGCTGCAGAGATTCTTGTCAAACGTCTCCTTTTCCCAAACACTACTTTCTCTATAATGTCATGACCATATCTGTTTCATGTGTGGAAGTCTCTGCTCCATATTCCTGGTTCTGGAACACACATTCCTATAAAATCTCAGACTTGTTTTCTCTACCCAATTCCCACCTACATCTGTGACATCCTCTTGAGGAGAGGTGGACCCTCTAACAAAAATGTCCCATTCATTTCCTGTCCTGGCATCCCAGCTTATCCAGCCATGCTAACTTATTCCTCATTGTTCCAGATGATCTTCCAATACATTGTCTGCCATCAGGATATCCATGATTATAGTTTAGAGGTTTTACGGGTACTCATTAAAGTCCTCCACATTAATGTGTTCATTATTTACCATCCACGAGACCCACTGAGTCCTAGAAGAATACTTCCAATGCTATATCTGGTATAGACAATGCTGAATTCATAGAAAACTACTCACTGACCTTTCACAGCAACTGTGGTTTCTACCTACACAAAGTCCCCGTAAATGTTTTTCCATGCAAAACCAAATTAGAAGTCACAGAAAAATCAGAGTGCAAATTTGTAACCTTTCTTCTTAAATTTCATTATAGTCTGAGTACAGGGTGATCAGCAATATTCGCTTGGCTTGAATATCCTATTAAAAATCCATGAATTTGCTATGGCCTGCTACCCTGAACAAGCCCAATCTCAGAAGCTAAGCAGGGTCGGGCCTGGTTAGTACTTGGATAACAAGCCCAATCTCAGAAGCTAAGCAGGGTCGGGCCTGGTTAGTACTTGGATGGGAGACCACCTAGGAAGACTAGGTGCTGTAGGTGTAAAAAAAATAATAATAAGAGATTGTAAGCTGACAAGGTCCTTGCAATCTGTGAGGTCAACCAAGGGTTGCCTTGCCTAAAAAAAAATAATAAAATAAAATAAAATAAAAATCCATGAGTTTGTATACCTTAATCACAGAGAATAAGGTGAACACTTGTTTATCTCTGAAACTTGTAAACCCAACAAATAGCCACACTTAAGTATATGGCAAAGTAAAATAACATTAATACTGCCCTATTTATAGTAATAATCACATTGTATATTTTTTAGTTCTTTTTTTTATGAAAAAGGATTGGTATGAGAAAAGAAGAGGTAAAAGTAAAAAGTAAAAAATAGATGTAAAAGAGAAAATAATGTAAAATAAAAATATAAAAGCAAATTGTATTTCTTGACTTCTTTTTCTTTTCTTTTTTTAATGAAAAAGGGTTGGCATGAAAAAAAAGAATCAGAAGTCAATGGCAGAACAATAATTGCGGCAGACTGAAAAATGCCTCCCTAAAAGATATCCATGTCCTAATCCCTGAAATCTGTGAATGACTCCATATATGCAAAAATTTATCAGCTTTATCTTAAAATAATTCTATTAATCTTAGCCTATTTTAAAAATTAGAAATGAAAAAGCATATGATCATTTTTAATAAACACAGAAAAAGAATTTGACAAAATCCAACATCCATTCCTGATAAAAACTTGAAACAAACTAAGGAGGAAGGGAACTCTATATGATAAAGATCATCTATAGAAAAAAAAAAACACACACACTAATATACTAAATGATGAAAGACTGAATACTTTCTCAAGATCAAGAACAAAGCTTCTACTCACATTGTACTGGAGGTTCTGTCCAGTGCAATCAGAAAGAAATAAAAATGAATTTATTTTCTGGATGACATGAAAAGAAGAAATGAAAATGAATTTATTTTCTGGATGACATGATAATCTATATAGAAAATCTGATGAAATCTACAAAAAAGTTACTAGAACTGTTAAGTGAGATTAGCAAAGTATAGGATACAAGATCAATATAAACATTTTTTTGTATTGCTGTATATAATACAATAGGTGATCTTAAATTCAGTACAGTCCCAATCGATATCCAGCAGACTTTTTAAATAGAAATTGACAAGCTGATTCTAAAACGATAAACAATCAGAAATTTAAGCTTAAAAAATAAAAACATTTCCAATAGCACCAAAAATATGAACCACATGGTGATAAATTTGACAAGAAACATGAAAGAGTTATACACTGAAAAGTATTAACTTTGCTGAGAGAGAATAAAGAAGACAAATATAGAGAGAAGTATACTTTTTTCATGGGTCTTAAGATTCAACATTGTTGACCTACAACCAAGATTAGACTACCCAGCAAAGCTATCATTTAGAATTGAAGGACAGATAAAGAGATTTACAGACAAGAAAAAGCTAAAGGAGTTTATCAACACCAAATCGATATTACAAGAAATATTAGAGGGACTTCTTTAAGAAGAAAAAGAAAAGAGATTAAAAATATGAATAATAAAATAGCAATAACTACATATTTATCAATAATTACTTCAAATGTAAATGGATCAAATGCTCCAATCAAAAAACATAGGGCTGAATGGATGAGAAAACAAGACCCATGCATATGCTGTCTACAAGAGACTCACTTAGAGTGAAAGTAAAGATATGGAAAAAGATATCTCATGAAAATGGAAATGAAAAAAAATCTGAGGTAGCAATACTTATATCAGACAAAATAAACTTTAAAACAAAGGCTAAAACAAGAGACAAGGACCCAGTAATTTCACTTCTGGATATTTACCCAAGGAAATCTAAAATAGTACTCTGAAGGGATGTGTGCATCCATATGTTCATTGCAGCATTATTTGCAATAACCAAGATATGGAGGCAACCTGCGTGTCCATGAATGGATGAATAGATAAAGAAGAAGTAGTACATAAATACAATGGAATATTATTCAAACATAAAAAATAATTTTAAAATAATGAAATCTTGCCATCTGCAAAAATATGGATGGACCTAGAAGGTATTGTGCTGACAGGAGTAAGTCAGACAGAGAAAGACAAATGCCATATGATTTCACTAATTTGGAATCTAAAGAACAAAATAAACAAACAAAACAGAAACAAACTCATAGATAAACAGAATATTTTGAGGGGTGTCAGATGGAAGGAGGATGAGTGAAAAGGGGGAAGAGATTAAGAAGTACAAATTGTTAAGTTACAAAATAGTCATGGGGCTGTAAAATACAACATAGGGAATATAGTCAACAATATTATAACAACTATGTATGGTTGGGTACTAGACTTATTAGGGTGATCACTTCAAAGTCATATAAATATATAATCACCATATTGTACACTTGAAATTAATATAATATCATATGCCAACTATAAGTGAAAAATAAAAAATTATTATTAAAAAAAGACTCAGTATTGTTAAGATTTCATTTGTCTCCAAGCTGATCTATAAATTCAATGCGATCCCAATAAAAATCCAGCAGACTTTTAAATAGAAATTAACAAGCTGATTCTAAAATTCATATGGAAATTCAAAGGACATAAAATAGCCAAAAGTACTCCAGTAAAGAAGGACAAAATTGGAGGAGAACCCGATTTTAAGACTTTTTATAAAGCTACAATAATCAAAACAGTGTGTCATTAGGGTAAAATAGGAAGAAGATCAATGGAACAGAATAGAGAGTTCAGATATAGACCCACACATATACAGAGGACTGATTTTTGACAAATGCACAAAGGCAATAAAGTGGAGAAAGGATAGTCTTTTCAACAAATGGTGCTGAAATATTTGGATATCCATTGCAAAAAAAACAAAAAACAAAAAAAACCACCTTTTTTTAATGCCTGGTACCACATACAAAAGTAACTCAAAATGGATAATAGACCTATATGTAAGAGTTAAAAGTATAAAACTTCTAGAAGAAAACACAGGAGAAAATTTCCGTGACCTTGGGGTTAGGCAATGATTTAGTAAGATGATAAAAGCATGATCCATTAAAAAAATTTTAATAATTGGACTTCATCAAAATTAAAAACTTCTGCTCTTCGAAAGACACTCTTAAGAGAGTAAAAATACTAGCCATTGTCTGAAAGAACATATTTACAAGTCATACATCTGGTAAAGCAATTTTATCCAGAATATATAAGAAACTCTCAAAACTGAATAAGAAAACAACCCAATAAAAATAGGCAAAGATTTGAACAGACACTTCACCAAGATGATTTGTGGATGACAAATAAGCACATGAAAAGATATTCAACATAATTAACAGGCAAATTAAAACGGCAATGAACACCACTACTCACCTCTTAAAATGTCTGAAAGACTGACCATACTCAGTTTTGGTGAGGATGTGGAGCAACTAAAGTACTCATAGTACTCATTCCTGGTGGGAATGTAATATGACACGACCTTAAAAAAAAAAAACTTTAAAAAAGTTTGGCAGCTTCTTAAAAGTTAAGCATACACCACCCAATGATTCAGCCATCCCACTCCTGCATGTTGATCCAAGAAAAAAGAAAGCATGTGTTTATACAAAGATGAATGTTTTTAGCAGCTTTATTTGCAATGGCCTGAAACCAGAAATAACCCAATGTTTCTCACATGGTGAAATGACACACAAATTGTGGTATAGCCATATAGTGGAATACTACTCAGCAGTAAATAAACAAACAAACAAACAAACAAACTCTTGATACATGCAACGTGGATGAATCTCAAAATAATTTGGCTGAGTGTAAGATTCCATTACAAAAAATTCTAGCTAATGCAAACTAATCTATAGTGAAAGAAAACAGATCAGTGGTTGCTTGGGGATCTGGGGGCAAGGAAAGATAGGTGGGAGGGATTACCAAGGTGCATGAGGAAAATTGGGAGGATGGTAGATATATTCATGTCTTTATTGTGATTATTTCCTGGGTATATACATATGTCAAAACATCGAATTGTGCACTTTAAATATGTGCATTGTATGTCAATTAAAACTTAATAAGATGTTTTAAAAACAAAAAACAAACAATGCCAACACAGACTCTTTGGGGATGTGTCTGATTGTCACTCCAAAGTGGGAAGATCATGCCACCTGGTGGTGAGGCTCAGGTAGCACCATCATTCCACGCAGTGCTGCTTTGCCTGCTTGGCTTTCTGCATGAGCAGTTGGTACTCTTTGAGGGAAGAAATCACTTCCTCCACAGAAAACCAAGGACTCCATTTACTTGGGCTTAGGTTGTAGTTTTTAGCCTTCAGCTCTATACACAGGAGCACTGTGTATGAAATTATTTCACTGGTGCTTTGTTCACAGTTGGAAAAACTTTTCACTTTCTTTTTTGGGGGTATCCTCTTCCCCCAAGAGTTGAACCTTTCAACTCTAGAAATACAAAAGATTTATTCCATGCCATTTCTCTGATAATAAGACATGAGAGGATAAATGTGTGTTGTAGAAAGCCACCAAGCTTGTGGTAATTTGTTATAGTAGCCACAGAAAATTAATATACCCTTCCTGGATGGGATAGTTTGGGAGGAGACTATCTTAATTAAATTTGCCCTCTTAGGGCCAACAAGGGAACCCACTAGGATCTCTTTTGCTAAAAGCCATAAAAAATATAAATAAGTCTCTAGCAGGCCACCTGAATGCTGAGATCCTTCTTGGAACACTATTGCACATCTTCCCATGTTAAAGCAGAACAAAACCTGCTCAGAGGTTTTGTTTTTAACAGGTTACCCCCAGGATCATGTTGGGTTCACTCATACAGAGTGATCAATTCTCTACCCACTGTGTAAACAAATAGAAGAACATCTAGATGTCACTTTATAGGTTTACTACTATCTACTTTTCTTCATTATACCTGGAAACTATAAAGGCAAAAACTGATTAAATAATTTGAGTTGCTAAGAAAGAATCTCAAATATCCATACAGTGAGATGGATGGATGATGTGGAAAAAGCTAGACCACCATTTGCATTTATTTACACAAATCCTCCAATGAATTTTACAAAATGTTAGTTTAGAAAAGTCAATTTTAGTCATAAATTTTAATTGTTTCTTCTTTCAGTTTAGAAGAGAGGAATAAACATTTGGAAGATTTAATTAGGAGGCCTAGAGAGAGAGCTAAAAAACCAAAGTAAGTTTTTATTTATTTTTATAAATAATAATCTCTTTAACTTTAGAATATATCTATAATAATAAGTAATACACTTTTAAAAACCTTTTTTCCTTATGTCAATTTAAGACAAGATAAATTATGTGACTAACTAGAATAAAATAGTTGCTTAATAAATGTTTTTTGTAGGACCTGAATCGGAAAACCAGGTTCCCTGGCCCCATGGAACTTCTGATTACTTCTAAGGAAGACACTATAAAGATTACGAGCTAAGATTTTTGTCTACAATAAAACAGCTTACCCTGGTATAAATACATAGCAGACCAGATTTCATGACCAGATTTTCTTACACTAATGTTAAATCTTATGATCCATTATTTTAGAAGATTCTCAGTATTTGATGGAACAAGGCATAATCTCAAACCTAATGGGATTGCCTAAGGCCATAGTAGAATGTCAGAATGGGACTCTTCCTGGCCCAGTTCCTGAAGTGCTAATAAAACATTTCTAGTTCCCAAAAAGAGAGTGAGTTTTCCATGTGCAGAGGTTCTGATGGAAATTTCAAGGAACTTGTTTCATGACTCATATCCCTTGTCCAGATCCAATATATTAAAAGTGTGGAAAGTGAGAAAGATTGGAGAAGAGATTTCTTTGACTGTCATGTTGTGAGTTCCCATTAATCCCAAGTAATTCTACCTCTTTTACCTAAAGGCTTGTGAGGGGTTTCCAGGTGATCACCTAAAGAGCTTTGAAATGCTTTTCCTAAATATTGGGAAACACAGAAGATCAGTGACTCACTCGTGCCTGAGAAAACTAAAGAAAGCTGCAGCAGCATGACAGAGAGGCTGTGTTGGGGGTGGCCTGTTCTCCCTAAAATTGTCATCAATTTTAAGAACCATGCCGGGTGAGAGATGAGTTATTTGGGGCTCTTGCCCAAGCTGCCTGGAGGAATATCAGCATCAGGAAGAGGACACCAAATTCTTGGAGGCCGATAAAGAAATATCAAGTGACCACCAGAGGAGAGATGCATCAGCCTGGGTCAAGGGAACTGTAAGACAGAGGTCCTCAGCAAAGGCAAACTCCAAAGAGAGAGAATCAGCTTTGGCCATTTGCCACCCAGCCAAGTAAGAATATCCTACCACTTTACTTCTCCCTCCTGCTGTAAATAGAGGAGGTTGTGAGCAAAGAGAGAGCAGAAACTGATCTCCAAGGGCAAGTGATGTCCACCAACTAAAGCCTTAGCTGAGAGAGGGGGAGGAGAAGTCCCACTTTTGAATGAAGATTAAAGGATTGATTAATATTTAAGACTGGACATTCTGCTTACTAAATTGAGACTATGTTTATGCTTCACCGTGAAAACTGGCTATTAAGAGTGATCAAAAAATCATTGGGCCTGCTAGGTATTCAGCCAATGGCAAAGGAAAAGCTTCCCTGAGAGATAAAGGTCTAAAGTAGAAGTGGAAGGCAGACATTAAATTTGCATTTTGATTATATCATTGGTCATGTTTGTTCAGCGCACCATTCGACTTGAAAATCAAAACTCTTTAGATTTATGCTAGCATTTGCAAAGTAGTGAGTTAACTACATTTTTGCCCCTAATATAAAAGAGTATGATCTGATGCCTGGTATATTACAGATGCTCAGTAATTGTTAATTTAAACTGAATGTGAATCTTCTGAGTTGCTGAGAGAAACTTTGAAATATTTTCTTCTAGAATTTTATTTATTTATTTATTTTTTATCCTACAGTCTTAGGGCTGACTTTTTGTTTTTGTTTGTCTGTTTTTGTTTTTTAGAATTATTTTAAAACAAGAAAATTTGCATATGAATGTACACATTTTTCACCAGTTCAAACAACTCGTTTACTGTATAAATAACATGTGGCCTATTTTCACAACAAATTTGAGGCCCGTTTGTATAGATTTAATGTGGCTTGGAAGCAAAGGGATGTGAGGTGGAGCAGAAGACCCTCTGGGCTGTTTCTTAGAAAACTTAAGACTTATATCGCCTTCAACGGCCACCATCCATGAAGCCTCCCATTGACTGATTGACCTCAATAAATTTAGCATAGGGATGCTCTTTAGACTACCTCTGCATCATCTTAAAATTATAATGCTGCTTTTTCCAATTGTGGGAAATAGGGAGATAAAGTGAGCACTTTAATAGTCTCGGATGTTTTATTTTGCCTCTAGTTCTTCATCACTTTCAAGGGAATTTGCTAGGTTTTCAAGTCATAGCCAGAATTTTATCCTAAGTAAATCTATAAGGATGTTTAAATGTAATGAGACTGTGGCTCAATATATTTATTTAATTACAGTGAGAATGATCCAAATATTACATACCGAAAAAGCTTTACCTTAATCTTTTAGGGTCTTATAGTTCTTTCCCAAATGACAATTTCTCCTTGAATACAAGGGAAAGAACATATTTAAAAATGGCGTACTTGTTCACTATGTTCGCTATTTTAGTCCTCCTCACCACCACTACTTCTTTTTATTTATTTTTTTTTAATTATTCTATTTCTATTTCCTGCAGACCAAGAAGTTTAAAAAATCATCCAAAGTCCATGACAGTGGTAGGTCATATCGATGATCATTATAAAGAATGTTATATTTTCATGTAATTTGATAATAAGATTAAATGAGTTCCTCAAGTTACATTTCCATAATGTTCAGCTTAGCTTTCCCCTCTGTCATCAGATAAGGGTCTATTTGGCCTCTGATCATAGGTCTTCCTATAATTAGAAGCCCTTTCCTCTGAAACTTTCCTTGTATTGATCCTCTTAACTTCATCCCCACAACTACTGCTTCATGTTGAACCTTCATCATTTTTCATCTGGCCTATTATGGTCATCTCCTAATTGGTGTTTCTGCCTCCAGTTTTGCTCCCCTTCCATCCTCCATGGAGTAGAGAGTGATCTCTCAGAAGCAAAATCTGATTATGTCCCTCCCCTTCAATGGTTCTCAGTTGCATTCAGGATCAAATCCAGTCTCCCTAGCTCAGCATATAACGTCCTCTATGATCTAGTCCTTGCCTTCCTATCCAATCTTCTCGTTCACTGCTTCCCCCTTGCCAACGTACATACCAACCATATCTAGCCACTTGTAATTTTCTAAATATACTATTATTTTTATGCCTTGTTATTATTGCCCATGCAGTTTTCCTTACCCAGATAGAATGTTCTCTCCCAACTAATTTTTCTCCCCCTCACTTCAGTTCCCAGCTCAAGCTCTATCTCCTCTATGAAGCCTTTCCTGTCCTGTCTCCCAGATGGAACGGACTTGCTTCCTCCCATGTGCTCACACCATACCCTTTGATACAACAACACTTATAACATTTCATTCCAGTTCTCTGCATTCATGTCCCTTGACTTGACTAGAACTCTTTAGTGCAGGAATTGTCTTATGTTCATTTTGGTATCCCTAAGCACCCAGCCCACAAAAGGTATTAAATAGGAGTGAATATTTGACTGGCTTGGGCCCTAAGACCAATGCTACACTTGCTGGAGTAATTAGTAATAGAAGATACAGCTGCTGCTGCCCCCGTCCCACCCAAGGCCGTGGTATATATTCGTAAACACCATGACCTGTTCGTGACATAGCTTTGTGGAGAAGAGGTCAAAGATTTTTACTCTACATGACCCATTGAGACCCAGCTGTTGGAATAATTGAGTAATAAGGATATCTTTATACTACTAATTCTTAGTTATACTGTGCTGATGAGTCACTTTATGAATTTTTCATATTCTTGCTTCTATTCTTGTTTTCTTCATTCTGCCAGCTGGCAACGAAACCAAGAAAGATGAAACTCAACCCACATTGTTCCTTAATGGGAAAAAGATCGAAACAAACAAAAATAATAATTAAAATATAATATTGATATTATCTGTGATATTCATCTATCTATAGGTTTTCCTTATATCATTTTTCCATATGTAATCAAGAATTAGCTGTTTTGCCACTGAATGCCTATCTTTCTTAAAAACTTAAAACATTTTTTCCTTTCATTTGTAGATGCCAACTATTTTAGAAGGAAATAGAAATGATTTAGATTAAGCAAGACTGAAGATTAAACACTAATTATTTTTGTCAACCACTCCAGGAGCAGTCACTACTAAGTATAGTACCCAGATCAATCCATATAAATGATAACAATAAAATTGTATAAATGGTGAAAATTTACATTCTAAAAAATGTGATAACTTTTTTCTGATTTCTTCTTATAAACAAAAATTCTACTTTAAACAGGTGAATACAGTGGCTTCTTTTCCAAATATCTATTCTCATTTTCACAGAATACCACTCCAGTATTATCAGGCCTTTATGAAACATAAAAATAGTCATGAATCTCATTTCGATTTTTTGTTTCCCCTCGTAGTACATCATTTTTCTCTCTAGTCAATCTAGTAGGCTCTTCCTACTACCAATCAAATTTAAAAGGACACTAATTTCGAAATCCTTTGGAATTAAACCCTAGCTAAAAGGAGAAAACTGATCTTTCGAGACATAACCCTTATAATTTCCCCCTTAACATAGTTTTGAGGAATTAGTGCTGAATTTAAACAAAAGACCCAGAGATAGCTGATTTTGTAAAGTATATCAGAAAAATAAATGAACATAACATACATATTATCCTTTTAATAAATCCCAGAGCCAGGATGGAGGTGTAATTATTGAATCAAAAATATACCTTGAGTGAAAGGAAAGAAATTATTTTATCTCACTGACATTAGTTGCACTTAAATTAGTCAGCAAAGTACAAGAGGAAAATATACGGAGAATATATATCTGGCCCTGAAGGAAGTACTGATTAAATAAAAGCTATTATTATTATTGTTTTGTTTTTTTGTTGAGAAATTCTATAAGACAGGTCTTATATGAATTTTAAAACATAAAATTAATTTCTCAAATTCAAAAGGCTGCAATAAAATTTAAGACAACCCATCAGAAATGCAGTGAGTTTGGAGGTATAACAGTGTTTTATTTCAGAAAATTAAGCCTCGAAAGCTTTGAAAGTGATTCAAATTTTAAAAAGAGCCATTATTATTGTTGTTGTTGTTATAGTTATCAGTGTCATGGGACCCTCTAAGGAAGATTAAAATATGACAGGAGAAAGACAAACATTAACATAAAGATAGCTAATGCAGCATCTTGAATCTGCACATGAATGTGATGGAACAGTTGGAATGGGAAGATTAACAGGTTGTCTACAAACAGGATTGTGTCCTAAGTGCTACATTTCCCATGTGTACTATTAGAAATTTATGACTTGTTACCTACGTGTTGTCTCAGAATGAATGTGCCTCCTTTGGTGCATGGCTCAAGGATACAAAGTCTAAGTCAGTTCCTTCAGTAAACATTTAGTAACTTTCAAGAAATGATGTGACAACCTCTGTGTTAGATACCAAGAATACAAAGAAAAATCAGGCAAAGATCACCAAGGCCTACATAATCTATTGGGAGAGATAGATAAACAAACTCTGTTCTAGAATGGTGTAGCTATAACTGCCCATGGAGGTCTAGAAATATGCATGAAATGGCCCTGGACCCTGTGAGAAAATCTCAGGGAAGATTTTACAGAAACGATGAGCCAGATCATCATAGCTGACTAGATATTCCTCAGATGGATAGCAGAGGAAAGCAACAGCGCACTCAAAGCATAGAGGCCTGAGATACCATGTTACATTCCCTGAATAACAAGCGTCGTCTAAAACCCACGTTCTTCCTGTGGCAGGAGATGAAGATGATCATAAATAGAATTATATGCCATGCTAAGAAATTTGAACTTCATCATTATAAGAAGTTCTGAAGGATTTTAAGTACAGGAGTGTGGTCAGACATGCATTTTTGAAAGATCACCCTAATAATGATTTAAAGGGTAGGTCAGTGGTGGGCTGTGCTAGAATTAGATGTACCAGTTAAGAAACTGCTACAGTGCTTCAGCCAAGAAAAACTGAGGCCCAGAACGAAAATAATGGCAGTGGAAATAAAGAGAAAGATATGGAAGCAAAGTGATTTCAAAGGTAAAATGAAAACAATTTGGGAATTGGTTAGCTATGGGAGTGAAGAGAAAAGAGTCTAGGAAGCCTGGCAGGGTTCTGGTTGAGTGGTGGTTATCTGAACTGAAAGAATACAAGAGGAACAGCTGGTTTGCAGGAAAAGATATGATGAGTGTGAGGTCGCTGTGAAACACAGGGGAGATATTTTAAGTAGTTAAATATATGCTGAGGAGGATCCAGTGGATTTGGAAGGGACTGCAGATAAAGGAGAGAGTAGGCATAATTGATGAATCAAGGTCTCAAAGGAAGGAAGAAGGGCTAAGTTCCACCACAGGAGCAGACACCTCTTCCTCTGCAATTGAAAGGAAGGAAATCAGAATAGGCACATTCAGGGCGACTGTGAGCTGTGATATAAGCTGAGGGAGCTCATGGCTGAAAGCTTCACTCTCTTGCAGTAAGTAGGAGGGGAGAGGTGAAGGTTTGAAACAGCCACAGCTTCTGTCCTCACAGAGCAAAGCTTCAGCTCTCGCCACAGGATAGTACAAGGAGATAAAATTTCCTTTCCACCTCACGATTTCATCTACTTTCTTCTCCTTCCCTCTAGACCTTATTCCCTTGATTCTGACTCACTGCATCTTCTGGAGGACTTGCTCCATCAATAATTTTTATGGACAGGGTTTTAAATTTTTACTTTGTAGTCCAGCAGTCACTGCTAACATGCACAGGCCCCAAATTACTTGTATGCCCTGGCCCATTGTTTCCTTTTCTGAGAATGTCCTTCCTGTCCTAACTAAGCTAAACTTCCTCACTTCTCCACCTCCATCACCCAGTTCCTCATATTTAAAACATTTGTATTTTTTAAGGCCTAATTTAAATGTCACCCTCATCCTTCTCTGAAAGTAATACCTATCTCCTCTATTTTATCTGTGACTTTCTAATGGTACTTAGTACTTTCTTCCCTAAATTATAGCACTTGGGAAATAGTATGCTACAGCAAAAAGAGCACTCAACATATAGCATCACGAGATTCAGGTTCAAGCGGCTCCTCCATACTAGCTGTTGTAAGAAAATGAGTTCATAGGATTTTTTTTTTTTAGGCTAATGTAGGAATTTAAAAGAGTTATATACTATGTAAGAGCAATCATAGGACTATGTTAATATTAATGTAGAAATATAAATTTTTTGTACATTATGACTCTCTTTAATAGATTATAATATTTTCCTATAAAAATACAACTCTTAGTATGAGTCAGTGATGTATAGAATTAAAATCTAGCAGATCCAGTCTGAAATATACATAAGGCTTTGGAAGTTAGTATGAATTCATAATTGTGCCTCACTCGGGTAAGTTGTGAAACTGGAAAAAGATCTTTCTTTATTTAGCAAGGCCAAACTTGCACGAAGAACATTTAGAATATATATATTTTGTAAATTTAGAGCATGACGTGGTGAAAATTCCACAACACTGTAATACATTTGGGAATTCTTATAGAAAATGGGGCCAAAGTCAAAAATATTATAAAAAGAGAATTTCAAGATTTAATACAACTACTCCACTGATACATTCCTCCACTTCGGTTTGTACTAGAGAATTTGAACATTCCTAACTAAAGAGCTTTGGTACTAGAAGGACAGTGTTTAGAAAAAACTCAGTTCTTTCCCTCCTGTGTTTCTCTTTTACTCTCATGCTACTACCACATTCAGAATACTTCTGACACCAGATTTGTGCTAGGTTTTCCCCAACCAAGCAATTCTCTGTAACATCAGCTGGGTGTCCTACAATTTAACTCAATTCTAACAATATCTACCTGGAGGTAGTGTCAGATCCCACAGTTCAAGGCCTTAGTCCCCCAAGACTGCCCTCAATCCACTTCAGATGCCAATCCCAAGTCTAGGTTGTCACCTGTGTTTCTGACCCACCAGCTATAAATCAGAGGTTCCTAATGATCCCCCCTTTGGGTTTCATCAATTTGCTAGTGTGGCTCAGAGAACTCAAGGAAATACTTATGCACTTATGTTTACCAGTTTGTTAAAGGAAACAGACGAACAGCCAATTGATGAGATACACAAGGTGAGGTCTGGGAGGGTCCTGAGCACAAGAGCTCCTATCTCCTATGAAGTTGGGATGTATCGCCCTACCAGTACTTGGATGTGTTCACCAACCGGGAAGCCCTTGCCTTTGGGATTTTATGGAGGCTTCATCACATAGACATAATCATTAACTCCATTTCCAGCTCCTCTCCGCTCTTTGGAGAATGGAATGTGGGGCCGAAAATTCCAAGCTTCTACTCATGGCTTGGTTTTTCTGGTGACCAGCCCTTATTCAGGAGTCATCCAGGAGCCCACCCATAGTAGCTCATTAGACAAAAGATGCTCCCAGTGCTCTTGTCACTTAGGAGTTTACAAGTGTTTTAGGAAATCTGTGCCAGGAACCAGGGCAAAGACGGATATATATTATTTTCAATTATCTCACAAATAGGTATAAAAGCTGCAATAAACTCATGAGGAATTAGTACGATTAATAAATACATATTTTTTATATACGCTTTCCTTTACTGATTTACATACCATAAAATTCACCTATTGTTAGTGTATGAGTCAACGAGTTTTAGTAAATTATTGTCATGCAATAATCACTACGTCTTGTTTTAGCCTACTTTCATCACCTCCACCCCCAAAATTTCCTCTAGCTTGTTTTCAATCAACCACTGCTTATATCCTAACGTCTCCAGGATTCTGGTTAGTCTTGTTTCTGGGGAACATGCAAGGGAAAGGTTAGTAGGACAAACTGTGATCAACTGCTGTGTTTGAGCATGAGGCATTGAGACAACTACTTGGTAAAGCATTGGTATTTCCTTGTTGTCTGCCATGATCCATCTAGTTTCTGTAGAGACCATTTGGCAAATTGAGTTGGAGTATGATGGAGACCACCACCACTTTGAGAGTTAAACACATCTCTACCATTCCCCCAGGGTATGATTGTGTTTTTAATTTACCATCTTGGTTGGAGAGGGGAATAGAAGTGGCAATTTCAGAAGCTTCCACTTGGTCTTTCATACTCTTAATACTCTTACTAGAAAACAGTGTGAGGGTCCTTTCAACCACCATTCCATCTGTACTTTCAGGGACCAGATATAGAGAGGTCTGATAACCTGTTACCTGGACCCAGCTCCTATATACTCCTGGTTTAAAAGGGGTCCTGTTGGTACTTTAGGTCCTGGATATAATGTCAGTTCAGACCTTGTGTCCAACAATCTTTTAAAAGTCTGAGTGTTCCCTTTCCTTGTGCATGATTACTGTGAGTAAATGTCCATAGGATGGGATATTCACTGCTGAATGGCAACTGCTGTGGTGTTTCAGGTCTCCTCATCACAGGAAGCTAGTTTCTCTTTGGTTACTGGGTTCTAGGATTGAGAACTGGTTCAAACCCAGCCGAGGAAGAAATCATGACTTTTTATTGGAATTACTGCTCTCAGCTTTGTGATCTTTCTTGATTTATTTAATTATATAAAGTAAGCAATAAGTTGAGTGCCCATCTATCTTATTAACCATTGCCATGGCTCTGTACAAGTTACTCTTCCTATCCATTCCCCACCACCCCTTCCCTATTCTGACCTTGTAGCTCATGGTGATAATTGTGCCCACCTTGTTTCTGATGGTTAAGTGGTGCCACTGGCCTCCTTTCATCCCCATTGTTATCAGCCCTGTTCCATAAATAGCATCTCGGCCTCAGCCCCAGTCTACAGAGGACAGCTGACCATTGGCCTCAGCAAGGCTGTAGTCCCTTCACTGGTGCATTACTTATTGCTTTGGTAAAGAGAGTGACTTCCAGGCCCTCTCACAGAAGGTGTAATATCTATGCTATGTACCATATCCATTCTAACAGGCTCACATTTAGGGGCCAGGCAGAGAAAAGGAGGGGCCAGTGAGGTAGAAGGAAACTAGGAGAGTACGGTTGTCATTGAGCCTAGAGAAACAAGTGTTAAAGGAGGAGGTGGGGAAGGAGGGTTCAGATGGAGATTTTTGAATTTAGCAAGATGAAGACATTTTGGTGCAGGGGTAAAAATAAAAGCCCAACTGGAATAGGCAGAGAAGAAAATTAAGAGGTGGGCTAACAAAGTTTTTCTGTGTCAGAGAGCAGAGAAATAAGACTATTGCTGAAGGGGAACAGGGACCACAGAGAATTTTGCTTTTTAAGATGGACAGTATTATAGTATATTTGTAAGTCGATGGGAGCAATGAATTGGAGAAGTAGAAATTTATTAGGAGGTAGAGAAGAGAGGGCTTATTTCAGAATCACATGTTTTCAGCAGGCGATGGGATCCAAACCACAAATGATGAATGGCCTTTGATAGGCCCACAAACATTTTTTATTGTAATAGCAAGGACTTAAGTGTTCTTTCACCTAGCAAGGGCTAAAAAAGAACTAGGTTTTGCAACTATACTTTAACTCTGAAGGAAAAAGAAAAAAAAACTTCTGTTGTTATCCTTATAAAGGGAGCATGATGGGAAAAGAAACATAAAATAAGAAAGGTTTTCAAAGGAGTCCTGACTCCCCAACCCAACTCTTCACTTAGAAGGAGGGTGGACCTTCCTTCCCACCCTCCTAGAGCACTATTCCCACCTGGTTCTCTTTCTTCATAAATCATAGATCTCCCTTATCACCTCTCCTCAGCTCATCTTTTTTTTTTTTTTTTTGAAAATAACAGACAAATTCACAGGCACCTGATCTCTCACAGCAAACACCACCATTTACCTTCATCTGTACACTCATGATCACACAGACACTGTTTTGTGTTTGTATGTTTTTATTTTCCCTAAGTTCTTCACATCAGTCACATCTAGAGGAGACACACTTTTATTTGTCCCTGCTCTACCTTTAGTAGCTGGTTGTCTAAAATTCAAGTCCCATATAAAATCCATTAGTGATCATTTAATAACATAATTAGAGTGAAAGTCCCAGTTTAAACCTATACTGGATTATCCTCACAGGTTGAGGCTACGTCTAAACAGGTCATGAGACCTGGAGAGACCTAACTACTAGGAATGACTTCAACATAAGGAATGAGACTCCTCTTTGCCAGAAATTAATCTTCAGAAGGAAAAAAAGAGTCAGTGAGAGACTCTTGGTCCAGTGACGGAGAGAAGTGATTTTGAGTACAGTAGCATGTATGTATCTTTTTTCACATTCCACACTGGATTCTCTCTGGTGCTAGGTGACAGCAGCAAGTTAAATAGCAGGATGCATTTGTCAAAAAACATGGCAGACTCAGGAATTCAGAGTAGGTCTGATTCGAAACTCATGAAAAATGCCTCAAAGTTAGGGAATTTCTTCCTATGCCAGTAGAGTATTAGCAAGGTTCAGACACAACAAAGTGGGGTCAGCAGTCCTGGTGGCTTTGGCACAGAGTAGCAGCTTTAGTAGCTGTGCATAGCAGTAGAGACAGTAGCAGAAAGTGAGAGGATGTCTTCTTAGGGAATGTGGGGTTAATTCAGAACATAGCCCCTCCATGTACCATAGAAGACAGAAGGCTGCCTGGTCAACAGCCATAAGGAAGGCAGTTAAAGTGCTCTCGGTAGGGCACAAGGACGTTTTCTGCTGTTCCTGTGGACATCTGCTCCTGTAACCAAGCAGCAGCACATCTTGCTCCAGTCCGCCTGAGAAAGGAGCTTTTCCTCCAACGAGATAACTCCTCCCTCTCCTCGAGTGTATAAAACTGCTTGCCCTACCCAGGTGCAGCTTTTTGCAGCTCCAATCTGCCACCATTTGAGCATTCCCACCTTGAGAGTAATAAACAGCATGTCCCATTTCTCTGGTAACTCCTGGTTTTCCCAGAATATCCAAAGTCCAGCTGCTAGTTCCAGGACTGGAGCTCCTGCATTACAGGGAATCCCTCCACCTCAGCCAGTTGCCTTGGTGGCAGCAGGGATGGCATTGGTGGCATTGCAGAGTGGAGTGGAGCAGAGCTGATTTAGCCCAGCACTATCAGGTCGTAACTTTAGCAGAGAGAATTAGTGGCAGCAGCAGCCACAAGCTGCTTTTACAAGGGTCCCAGGGCAAGGAGACCTTGAGCAGAGCCAGTGCAGGAGTACAACAGCGGATATCCTAGGCCCATGGAGCATGGAGTCTAGAATCAGACTGTTAGGTTCAAGTCTTGCCATCTGCCATTGACTAGCTTTTAAGTATTGGGTAAATTATTAACCTTTCTGTATCTGTTTTCTTCTCAGTAAATAATACCCGGCTCATAGGGATTTTTAGAGATTAAATTAGATTATACATGAAAGCAGTTTCTAAGGGACACCGATTGGCAACAGTATGCACACAATAAGGGTTAGCTTGTTTCATTACCCATATGACATGTCACACTGGTCAAGTCCAACAGTACCTGGTATTCAGATTGTTTAATTGCATGAAATACCAGATTATTGGCAGCAACCCAAAGTCCAAACTAGATGAGTAGAAAACTGAAGAGTATTGTACAGCCTTTGCTGCCCCCATCATATATTTGCCAAATACTTTCTACATGCCAGGCACTGTTCTAGGTGATTTATCTTTGGAATGTCACCTAAGATGTAAGAACTGTCACTATGGGTAGGGATGTGGTCAGAGAGGGAACAAGATTTACCACTGTATATTTTTTATGCTCTTGGGTTTTTTTAAACAATTATCTATTCCAAAACATATTTTTGCTTCTTAACACCATTATAGTTCATGATCCTCATATCCCTCTTATTTAAAATCATACAAAGAATTTATCGCGCCAGACACCAGGCCAACTGTCCTTCAAATAAAGTCGTCATTAACGATGTTAATAAATTGGAGCGGTGCGGGTCGAGTAAGTGACAAATTCCAAGTCGCCAGCCCGCATTACGGCGGATGACTGACTCTCGCGGGAATCTCAGAGGCCAGGGCAACAAGCCACGTGATGCCCCGGGCCGCCCACGCACGCCACTGCAGGGAGACGACTCGCAGCCACGTTGGCGGCGTACCTCTGCCAGGGAGGGGGCGTGGCGAAGGCCCGTGCGTGGTACGTGCCGTGCCCCGCCCCTCCCCGCTCGGAGCCCGGATGAAGAGTAACGCCATTACCGCCGGAGCGGTCGAGAACTCTCGCGGACCGAGACTGGACATCCGACGAGCTGCGCCATGAGACTCCTCCCCCGTCTGCTTCTGCTTCTTTTGCTCGTGTTACCCGCCACCCTCTTGCTCCGAAGCGGCCCTGGAGGTGAGGCGAGGGAAGTAGGTGGCGGGGGTCGGCTGGGAAGGAGATGCCAACAACAGCTAGTTTAAAGCTGGAGGCGGCGGGCGACTCCTGGGTCCGGCGTCCACCTCGCCGGGCTCCTTCCACCGTCTCCCTGACCCCCGGCTCGTACTAGGGGCTGCAGGGCGCGCGGGGCAAGACCCCGTTGGGGCCTCCGCCCCTTCTACGCGAAGTGCTCGACAGTGCAGGGAGAACTTGCTAGGTGGCTGCCCAAGGGCTTGGGCTTGTCCCCTGGCCCCGGACCCGCGCCAGCAGGTGTAGCCGGAGCTGTTGGATCCTCAGCTCGAGGGAGGAAGCGAGGGGGCAGTTGGCACGGCTGCACCCAGAGCGCGCTGCAGCCCGCTTTATTTCTTCCTGCCGCCTCCCGCGCGGCTCCACCCCCATCCTCTTGGCTCTGGGTTGACGTGTCTTTAGTTTCCACGTTAGGAGTCCGTCTTCATTCATTTGCTCAAACCTTTGTTTTCTAAACACCTAAACTCTTAGAGCACATTTTTTTCCCTGGTCATTTTGCCTTTTATCAGCATCTGGTCCCTGTGTATTGCCAGGAGTCTTGATTTCAGAAAAACTACCCATCTTCGCCCCCATTGTCCATCCCTGTACTGCCACGAGGACTGAAGAATCCCTTTGGGATGTCTATTGTGCCCTTTTTTCCTCGCTTTTTTTTTTTATGTAACCATTTTTTGTTTCATGGAATTATGTCCTGAAAAAATAGTCTAATTCGAGTTTAACGTTTTTATTCAGATTTATTCCTTCCGACAGTTAAACTAGTGTGAAAATAGATAGCAGAACCTCATAAATGTGGAGACTTGGCTTCTTGCCCTGGCTCTATTATGAACTTCGATTTTTCTAATCTGTAAAATGTAGTCTAAGTGATCACTAGAATTCTTCTGATTGTGTAAGTTTAAGCAGCCTGTGTGGCAAAATGAATGATAGTGACAGGTATCACGAGTTGTTTTGCAAAGAAAAGTCAAGTGACTGGCTTCTATTAAGTGAATAGAAAACCAAGTGTGAAAATTAACCAAAACTTTTAATGAATTTGCACGTTGACGGATTCTTAACCATTTGCTTCCTGGTTCGTTCTCATTTGTTTTTTAAAGAAAATTTGCCAGTTCTACTTGGATAAAATCCAGACTATATTTTTTCAGGTTTTAAAACGTTTTCTTTTTTTAAGAAACATCAGTATTTGAACTGGGTATCTTTAAAACATTTTTTTGATGAGGAATGGCCTTTCTTTGAAAAGATGTTTTCTCAAACTTTTCAATTGAAAATTATTAGATTTTATAGGCACAAAATTGTTATTGGCTAACATTAAATTAAATGGTATAACATGCACTGAAGCATAGGGTTAAAAGCAGTTATGTCTCAGTCCTGAAATTTAAATACAGTTTTAAATTAGTTAGACATAGATGTTTTTCTTACTGGTTTTTGAAAACGACTTGTAAGTTAATGAATGCACTATTTGAATGCAGTCTTTGCTCAGCAAGAAGCAGCTGTTTTTCAGTTCATAATGTGTGATTCAGTGTTCTTCAATATTTTGCATAAATGTTAACAGCCAGTAAGAACTGAAAGAACTGGACAAGACTTAAAATACATGGTCCTTAATATGTAGTTTCTTTTGGGTATTGCAGCACATGCATATGCTTCCTTTCCCACATCTTTTTTTGTCTACTGAATTGCCACATCATCATTCTTAAAAATGTTGAAAGAGTCACTAGAACTTTAAAATGTCTTTTGAGGGTCTGGCCTGAAATTTTATGTGACTTACTTAGAGTTCTTTTACCTATAAAATGATGATTTATAAAATTTTAGCATTAGAGTCACGCTTAACTTTCACTTTGGTATTAAGTGTAGCAGGAATTAAAAAATATCTTAAAACATGCTTGAGGCCATATACAAATATAAATGCATGCTTTCTCTGCAGTCAGCCCTCAAGTTACCAGTATAGTTTTTGTTGTTGTTTTACTAAATATTGTGTTTTACACAAGCTAATTTTTACCATGGATACCATACAGATATTTCTCCCTTGGATTTACATGCTGTCAAGTTCCAAGTTTGAGCTGTAGTCAACTCAAGTAACATTGTTTCTAGCCTAGATGTTGAGATTGCTGTTTTCCTTTAGACTTGATTTTTTTATTTTGTTTTGTTTTATATGGTTAATGACAGGGATTAAATTTTAGAATTTACTTTTCAAACAAACTTATTGTCCTTAATTTGCTTAACAAAGTTTTTTTTATAAGGACTTTAAGGTATCTTTAGCTTGAGGAGTTAATTTTTTCAACTGTTAGTACTTTTTAAAAATTAAACATTATTTCCCATTAAAATATGAACATGTAGTTAAGACTACTAAGATAAAAGCATATGAATATTCTTAGGTGCATTGTAACTTGACATCATTTGAGTGCACTGGGTGACTGAGTTACTTCAAGGGGAAATATTCATTGACTATTTGTGAGATTAAAAAACATTGGTATTCCAGGTTAACTGCTTGTTTTATATTTTATTATTAGGTCCAGTAGCAGCAGCTCAAGACCTTACAGAAGATGAAGAAACAGTGGAAGATTCAATAATTGAAGATGAAGATGATGAAGCAGAGGTGGAAGAAGATGAACCCACAGATTTGGTTAGTGTTATATGTATGATTTAATGCATGTATAGATCTAGAATTTATCCTTTTTATAGATGAATTTAGTCTTTAAATTCTTAATTTTAGAGGCTTATTACTTTGATAAGTGTGGATTAAAGTTGGGAGACTAGAGACCAGTCCTTGGGGATGGATCATAAGTATTTTTGGAGACTGGGAGGGAGATCATATGGACATGACTCTGTGAAGGTAACAGTATAGTGGGAATAGCACTGGACCGTTTGTTGAGAGATTTGGGGTACGTACTACTTAGCTTTCTGACCTGGGGTAATTTGTCTCTCTTGGTCTCAGTTTACTCTTTTTTCTTTGAGTCTCTTCTATGTTCCAGGCACTGTTTTGGATGCTTTGGTGAACAAACCAGGCACTTTTTCTGCTGTCATAGGAGTTCATGTTCTTGGGTCAGTGTGGAGATGTTTTGGTGGCAGGGGAGTGAGGAGCAAACAAAAAAACTATATATAAAATATGTTCTGTGAAGAGTAAAGGGCTGAGAGAAGACCTTTTAGAAGTCGTCCAGTTCTGGTACTTTTATTATAAAATTATAGTATGACACTAAGACGTTGGGCTAGAGTAAGGCTTATTGCAGCATTCTTCTAGCTAATTTCATAGCCTCTCTTGGACTATGTAATCTATCTTACACGGATATTTTTGTCTTTCTCTTTTTTATTTGCCACATTTGAAACAGGAATTTTTTTGATTCTAGATTTTTGTCTTTCTTTTTTTTTGGAGCTTAAACCAAGTCCCTATTTTCTCTTATGTCACCATCAAAATAATTAGCTTGTATATAGATTTCTGCTCCTCTTTTGACTTATCCTCCTTTTTGTGCTTTCCAATCAAGCTAATCCACTTGCTATTTTGTCAGTGTTTAAGTTACCATTTTTATGCATCTGTGCATATTGTTTCACTTGAATAGACTACCCTAATTTTTGTACTTTTTAAATTCCCCCTCCTTTAGGAAACCTTTACTGATTATTATGTGTCAGGCCTTTCACATGTATGTATACCCATAATTTTAGGGTTTATATTAGGGCTTTGCATCTTCAACCCCATTCATTAGATACATTACTTTTAACTAGATCAACACATTCCTCCATCAGTGATGATAGTAAAGACTTGGCTGTTCTAAAAGTGCTACTCATAGTAAGATAACTTAGAGTGAACATTGGAAGGGAATCCATCCAGGAATTGAGGTTTAGAGATGGTATTTAGGACTCTGAAATTTGGGCATGTACAGACATTTAGTAATATATTACATTGTTAAAAACACTTTTCTGGAATTGTGGCTCTCTAGCACTGGAATGTACTTATTGTGGAGGAAGAGAGTAGAGAAGGAAACTATTAATGTCTTTGTTATATTAACAGTTTAGCCAGAACTTTCCTATGCCTTGATTATCTCAGTCTTGAGAACTAAGAGTTAAAAGAGCAACTCAAATTTGTCCATTCCTTACCCTGGCCAATGAGTACAGAAGTGTTAGTGTCCTTTGCTATGTTCATATTCCCCAATCAGAAGACAGGGCAGATGGAAACAGGAAGGCTGGGGAAGTGTTTCCTTCCTTTGGACTAAACCATACCAGCAGTGTGGTAGGCTCGTGTGGGACCCTGAAGGCTGAAAAGGATAGACACTTAAGGCCAAAGTTGCTACATAATTACCTCCAGAACCAAAGGCCCTAGAATTTCTCCTGTGGTTCCCCAAGGTTTATGTGATCAACGTATACACAACTGTCTTAGGCATCAAGGAATTAGGGGATATGGAAGGATTCTTTGCCCCTGGGCCTGTCCCGTGTCTGGAGTCAAGGGACAGAAATGAGATTTTCCTAAGATCTGAGATACCAATAGCTTATTTAGATGCAAGTTATTGCTTTACATATTTTCAGTGCAAACTTTTTAAGTCACCTTGGGCTTTTCTAAGCCCTGATTATCCTTTAATTGCTAAAGCTGTGAGTTGCAATGTAGCTTACTATCATTCTCTGAAAGTATTTTTCTTAACAGAAGTGATAGCAATTTTATTATGATTTTTATCAAAGTAAGCACTATAGTAGTAACACTAATTAACATAAAAATATTAGTATTATTTAAAATAGGTAATACTTTCAAATGGATCAGAATTTTAAAAGTGCAAGGTATATAGTGAAAAGCTTTTCTGGCATCTTTGTCCTCTAGCTGCTGAGGTCGTCTCCCCAGTATTACTTGTTTCTTTACTCTCCTGGAGATAGGCTGTAATAGCTAAAGTATTTTAGAGCAGCGGTCCCAAGCTTTTTGGCACTAGGGCTCAGTGTTCCTGTGAGAATCTAATGCCTCATGATCTGAGATGGAGCTGAGATGGTGATGCTAATTCTAGGGAGCAGCTAGCTGCAAATACAGATAAAGCTTCGCTGGCTCACCGCTCACCACCTGCTCTGTGGCCTGGTTCCTGACAGGCCATGGAGAGGTACTGGTCTGCGGCCTGGGGGTTGGAGACCTGTTTTAGAGCATAAGCAGGTACTAAGCAGTATACATTTTACGATATATATACAGCTTATGCATTAGCCACAAGATAAAAGAGTTGTTTACCTTTACTTCCGTGTACTTTCCAGTTCTTCACAATTAGCGTTCCAAACATTTACCACTTTCAAACTCCAAAATCAGTCTTTTACAGTCTTAGGAACAACTTTGCCTTCACTGTCATAAACGAAGACCATCAAATGTGAACTCTATTCAGCTTTCTGCTTCTAAATATATTATTCACCCATACTTTCTGTGTTTTCTTTAACCAGTATGCTTCTCATCTGCTCGTTTCATATTTGTTTTCTTAGTTATTTGGTCCCCTGTATCTAGTAAAACTGTTCTTGTTAAGTCACCAGTGACATAATTGCCAAATTCCTGGCCTGCTTGGCATTGTTATCCTCTTTGAGCTCTTTCCAGCATTTGCTGATTACCCCTTTCTTAAGTCCCTTCATGTTGGCTTCTTTGGCACCCCTCTTAGTTTTCTCTGCCTACCTGTTTCTGCTTGGTCTCTACTACCTTCTCTTCTTCTTCTCTCTTGTGATTTCAGCCCCACCACCTTACATTAAAAAAAAGATGGCTTTCAGATCTCATGTCTAGTCACCTACCTTACTGTCACTGAGCTTTAAACCTGTATTTTCAGCACTTTGCAGGATAGCACCGTCTGGATGCTCAAATTTTATATGTCCAAAATGGAATTTAGCCTATACAATCCATCCTACCTCCATAAATCATTTCTTGTTTTGATATGGCTGTTTCCCTGTTACTTCCATTTCTTTTTACTCCATAGCCCATTAATCAAAACTTGGGGATGGTTCCTTTTAACTGTTTCTTCAGATATACCACTTTCTCTTTATTCCTACAGCTTACTGTTCCTGCCTTCCTGTCTTTGGTCTCTTTTCCCACTTGTGGGTCTCTTTTCCTAAAAGTAGAAATTTACTAAAGTATAGGACAGGCTTTGCCCTTGAGAAGTCCATCTATTGAAAGAAAACATTTTATGTAAATGAAAAGTTAAATACCAATACACTATGGTGCCCTCAAGCATCTCGATTTATTAAGAGTCTGGACACTTCAAAACCTAAATCTCTTTGAAATCCTCATTGATACCTGGAGAAATACTGCAGTGAGGTTTTTAAATTTTTCAACTAAATTGGTTCACATTTTTAAACAACTCTATTGAGATATAATTTATATATCATAATGGTCACCTGTTTTAAGCATACAATTCAATGATTTTTAGGAAATGTACCAAGTTGCGCAACTTTAATCACATTCTAGGACATCATCATCCCAGTATGATCTTTAGTCACATTTTTTAAAACCGTTTCTTCCAGTTGTGTGACAAATTCTCACAGGAATATTTTTCGGCTAAGATAGAAATCTTTGTAGGCTGATGAAGTGTTCTAGAATAGGGTCAGAAAAATGTGGCTGCGTGCCAAATCCAACTGCCCATCTTTTATGTATTGCGTCTGCTTTCCCACAACAGCCACAGAAAGGCAGAGTCAAGTAGTTGCAACAGGCACCTAACTCATGGTTCTCAAAGCCAAAAATATTTGATATCTGGCCCTTTAAAGAAAAAATTTACCAACCCATGCTCTGGAACCGTGTAGTTCAAAGTTTGGTTTGAGTACCAGCAACATAGCATTTCCTGGATGCTTGTTAGAAATACAGAATTTCAGGCTTCACTCTCAACCTGAATCAGATCTGCAAAATCTTAAGAGTTGATATGCACATTACTATTTGAGATGAACTGCTCTAGAATTTTTATTTTAACTGATGAGATACAATGAAATTCCTACCACAGCTAATTGCAACAAAGCCCTGGAGAGGCAATATTTTGTCACAAATCTTAGTGATGTTGTTATTTTTAAACAGTGATGTATTTTTTTCCCTGTAGTAATCCCTTTTTAATGTTTTTCTTAGGCAGAAGATAAAGAGGAAGAAGATGTATCCGGTGAACCTGAAGCTTCACCAAGTGCAGATACAACTATTTTGTTTGTGAAAGGAGAAGGTAATAGAGAAATATTAGTTTTAACTTAGATATAGGAATTTTTTAAATTTTGCACTTTTTTGGGAAGTATTAGTAATGCTTAAGATCTTTATTCTTCTTTTACAAATTATAGTGTAAACATTTATTTTGAAAAAAGTCATACTATAAATATATATAATAATGAATACTCATGTCTGTAAGATAGTATTCCTGGCATTTAAATTAAAGGGAAAAATAAATACCCATTTTAACTAGAAATTAAATGTTTCTTTGAAAGAAACTATTTTAAACTTTTTTCACACTGCAACAGTAAATTAAGTCATATTTTGAGTAAAAACATTAGTGAAACATTATATTTGTACAAGTAGGCCTTGGTTGGACCCTAGGTTTCATTAAGAGAAAATAAATATTACGGCTTAAATTTAATGAAAACTATGGCATGCACTGTTCTCAATACTGTGCATGTATTATTTAATTCTAGCAAATCCTATGAGGTTAGTTACAATTGTTAAACTGAGATTTAGAGAGATTAACAAATTCTCCAGAGTTATCCAGTTAGTAAATAGAGTGTGGAGACAGGATTCAGACCCAAATCTGTTCTGACCCCAAAGTCTGTGCGGTACTGGGTGAAACCCAGCTGTGTAAACTACAGTATAATTATTGAAGACTTATTATTTGAAGTTATAATTTTCTCCTTGTGTTTTCTGTTTTATTCTCACATATGTTCAGACTTTATGCCTACAAAAAGTATAATTTGATTAAGAGATTTTTTTTCCCCCCTTTTTATAGCTGCTTCCCTGGGTCTTCAAATTTGCATTTGACTAATTGCTTTAAGTGGTAGGGATTACCTGATTTTTTTTTTTTTTTTAATATTCTAACAAATATTACAGTTTTGGTAAACTTCTTAGACCTGATCTTTCTGTCATTCTTCTCTTTAGTATTTGCACAGATAACAGATAGAACTCAGGGAAAAGGCAACTTCATCATGACATAGCTCCACTGCAAGATAATTTTACTGTCAAAAGTACACACGTCTCTCTTAGACCGCTTAATTTGGATGTGTCTGGTCTGAAATGAGATGCTTAATTTAACTCTTAAGTTAAAATGCTGGAATACAGAGGTTTCAGTTTTTATATCCAACTCCAGCACTAGTTAGTGTATGACTGGAGTGCTCTATTGAAAGGGATTCTGAAATCAAGTCTACATGCATCAGGAAAGGGTGCCAAAATCTGTTAGTAATGTCTAAATTTTATTTCATGCCCTTTGAACATTTTCTGATCTATCTTTCTCCTTTTTTTGTTTCTTAGATTTTCCAGCAAATAACATTGTGAAATTCCTGGTAGGCTTTACAAACAAGGGTACAGAAGATTTTATTGTTGAATCTCTAGATGCCTCATTTCGTTATCCTCAGGACTACCAGTTTTATATCCAGAATTTCACGGCTCTTCCTCTGAACACTGTAGTGCCACCCCAGAGACAGGCAACTTTTGAGTACTCCTTCATTCCTGCAGAGCCCATGGGTGGACGACCCTTTGGTCTAGTCATCAACCTGAACTACAAAGATTTGAATGTAAGGACTTCTAAACTTTCAGGATTTGTTGTTGAAGTTAGAGATATATGAGGACAGCTGACATTTGGATATTCTTGTATTTAATCATTCATGTGCCTATTTTGTGGTTGAAACTGTGATAGGTACCAGGGAGGCAAAGATAAATTGCATGTCTGTCTTCAAGTGTATAATCCACTGGAGGACACGGATGTTAGCAGGCGATATTGCAACATGATAAGTGATACGTACTAGAGATAAGTGTAAGGTGCTGAAGTATGAAAGTGGTAGCAACTTTAGCTGGATCTTAAAAGGAAAAGGAGCAGTAAGGCACACTGTGGAGTCTATATTTTTAATGTAATTTTAGCAGTAAGGTTTATGGCCTATGAGAACCAAATAGTCTAATATAGGCTCTGTTGTGTTTCTTATGATTTTTAATCTATATGGTATATATCCAATGAATGAATGAGAGAAGCCTGCCACAATTGAACTGCTGAGAGTTGACCTCTAGATGCCAACTATTAAATCCACCTTCATATAAGGACATATTTAAACCATTATCTTTTCAAAGAGTTTTCAGAGAAAGAAATTTTATCCTCTCTTGGAAGCTTATTCAGCCTTTCATCATCCTAATGTCAACATTTTTACCTTATGTCTTAGTTAAATTTCTTGTACTGCAATTAGTTTTCTCTTTTTTAAAATTACTTAGTAGAGTCGGCAGAATAAGTACGACATTTGTGCAAAGCATCAGACACTGAAAAATAGTTATCTATGTGTTGTTCCAGTAATTTCGATATATTTTAAAACTTAAATTGTGTTGAACTGACAAAATTGTTTCAAGATCACAACCAAAAATTATTTTGATCCTGAAAAATCACCAGCCCATTTATTATAAAGAAATTGATTTCCAGTCCCCTGTCAATTTAGAACACGAATTTGACTTTTGTTCAATTTTAGTTCTTGAAGTGATCTGCTATTGCAGCTACTGCTGTACATATTTATGCTTTTCCTTATTTTGGAGGATTACACACAAAAGAAGCTAGGACTTCTAGTTGTAAGAGTGTTCTGTGGGCTTTATTTCTTTCTGCACATTCTATCTCATTTTTATCTTGTCTGGTTCCTCAAGCCTCCCTCCCCCACCCCACCCCAAAATAGCAGGGGACAACTTTGGCAAAGTTGGAGGCATTTTTAATTTGTGGAGAAAGTGGCATCATATGTTGAATGCCTGACACAGAATTAGCACCATTACATATGACCTTGTTGAGTCTTACCTTTTAAATGATAAAGCTATAGTATATTTCTTAGGGTAATGGTTTTAAGAAACCTTGTAAGCTTGCATTTTCCCAATACATTTCATATTTAGGTTTTTTTTTTTTTTTTTAACAGGGTAATGTATTCCAAGATGCTGTCTTCAATCAAACAGTTACAATTATTGAAAGAGAGGATGGGTTAGATGGAGAAACGTAAGTGAAAGTTGAAATATGTAGGTCTTGATGTCATTAAGTAGTCCTGGAAGACTTGCTCTTGACAACATATTTTTATTAAATGATGAAAATAGAATAGACTGTAGGTTTGGTGAAATCCTTACTACATAAATCCATACTTTAGATGATTCTTATAACAATACCAAGTTAGGAAAGATAGTTGAAACTGACAGAAATCTGTTTTCAAAAGATAGCTTTGGCTTTCCATCCTTCCCATCTTCTAAATTCTTTTTCATCCTATACTCTTAAACTTAATCACCAGCCTAATCCAAGTTGCATTCCTCTAAAATCGCTATTGAAAACATAAATTATAACATTTTATCTTAAAAAATGTGTCCTTTGTAAATGACATATCTTATTGTATACTTTTATGTAATTCACCAGAAGTAATTTTCAAATCAAACTACAAAATCTAGTATTTGAGGGAAATAAAACCCAAGGCAATTATAAAGTAGTTTTATTCATTTTAAGTCATATAATTGTTTTTTTAAATTGATTAATTGTTCTTAGAGCTATAGTAAAACTTCATCAAACTTATTACCTGGATCTTTGTTGAATTTAAAATATTTTATTCCTTTTCTAAAGACATACTGTATAAGCATTATAGATGTAATTAGCTGTGGTATTTCTTATGATTTAAGCCAGTTTATATTTTCTCCTTTTATATCAGAATCTTTATGTATATGTTCCTTGCTGGTCTTGGGCTCTTGGTGGTTGTTGGCCTTCATCAACTCCTAGAATCCAGAAAGGTAATTATAGATGAACAACGCTTATAGCTGTACTTCAAATATTGTTACAGTACTAAATTAAGTACAGTCCATTTATTCGTGGCTTCTTGCTTTCACTGTGGGTTTATATATTTACAGGTTTGTTGTACCTTTTAAAAATAAAACCTGAAGGTGAGACCTTGGATTTGTAACTTGGATCTGATTAGACTTTTTTACACATGTGCAATCAATGTCCTTTGTCTTCACCCTCCAGAGTTATCTTTGCCTACTTGTTATTGTAACTTAATTATGCTAGAATTTTTATTAAACTTAGGCATAAGATTTCATTTTTCTATTATACTTTTTCTAGGATGTTATTTTATCTGTAAGCACTTCAGCTTTTATATTCACTTTAATACTCAAACTGTAAGGTTAATTCCTAATTAGCAATTAAATGATCCTTTTCTTTTGAAAAGACTAAATTATCTGTATTCTATTTGTCTAACTTCTATTTTCTTGTTAGATTAGTAAAGTGGCAACACTAAAGCACCAGCTACAATCATAGTTGCTCTCTGTGGACATGATAGCTAATTTCTCCACTGTCCTCATCTCACTCTCTTCCCCCTCCTGCAGAACAAAACACCCATACTATTCTTCTCAGTAGGAAGTATAACATGATTGTGTCAAGTATATTAATATTGACTAGCTCCTTATATTAAAATTAGCAATTACTGTTATTAATAAGCACTTGCTTTTTTTAAATTAAATTTATTGGGGTGACATTGGTTAATTATATAGGTTTTAAGTGTACAATTCAGTAATATGTAATATGTACGTTGCATTGTGTGTTCAGCACCCAAAGTCAAATCTCAGCACTTGCTCTTTAAAAGAGAAATACTTAGTGCTTAAATTTTAATTTCCATAACTCTTTGGCTCATTTTCATAATAGCATTTTTGCTATAAATTTGTATGTTAGATATAATGGCATGTCAAATTTCTTTGCATTTGAATGAAGCCATTTTTTTAATTTGGCTGTGGTTACCTTTCCATCTACTCAGAATCTCATTTTTGGACTGAATAATTTCTTTTATATAAATAATTGGGTTTTCTGTTTTTGTTTTTAAGAGCAGGGCTAAAGAATGGAATTAAATTACTTTCAAGCAGTTTTGCTGCAAATACTCTAGGGCCAGTGTTTTAGGCTGTTAGCTTAAATGAGATTTTATGTTTTCATTTTGTTTTATCTATGCCAAATGTTTAAGTATAGCTAACAATACAGGAATCTGTGCATGCATCATTTCAGTAATTATCCTGAATTTTATTGAATGTAGAAATAAATTTATTCTTAAAGATTTGATTCCCCAAGGGAAAGAAAATCATTGTATAAATTGAAATTACTTGGTCCACCAATTGTTTAATAACATATGAAGCTTTGTAGCAGAAGAAAATGTCTTTAAAGCCTAAAAATACATAATTGTTGTGAAGATTTATTCCTTTTCATACTTTATAATTCGAGCTAGACATGATTTCTCCCCTCTGATTAATAAAAGCTAGAAGAGACCATATTTTTTTATGGTCTTGCTACTATTTTAAGTAGCTTGATAGGTCTCTTTTTAAAATTATAGTAAACATTATAATGAAACTCTTTTAAAGTAATGTTTTATGTTCTCTTAGCGCAAGAGACCCATACAGAAAGTAGAGATGGGTACATCAAGTCAGAATGATGTTGACATGAGCTGGATTCCTCAGGAAACTTTAAATCAGATCAGTAAGTACTCTTAATAACTTGGCTAGGAACTTTTTTTCTTTAAGTGGAAATTATATTAAATATTTTAGATTTAGCAAAAGTGCTTGGTCATTGCTATTTAATACTTATCTTTTCCATTACTTTAGAATCTAGTATTATGTGATTAATGAATGCTTAAAATTTTATTCTATTTAGTATTTTTACTCTTTAATTTAGAGATGCTTCCAAATCTGCAGTTTATATACAAATGTGTGAATTCTCTACTTTCCTAATCTTTTTCCTGTCTCTTTTCTTTTCTGTTGCTTCAGTGCAGAGTAGAAGAGGTGAGGCAATTTTTTTAATGGTGTTGTCTGTGTATTGGGGGCTCTTATATAGCACATGAATACTTTACAGTAAGTTTAATGAGGAATGGAACAGTTCTCTAACACTGTATTTGTCGGAAAAACTACTGACTACCCACTATAGTTTGAAAGAATCAATCTGAAATACTGCCTGATATTTTACTTAACAGATATATTTCAGTTTTATTACATATGCAAGTAGTTAAAATATTAACCTTTATAAAAGAATGTAGAATTTTTTTCCCTAATTGTAAATGGACTTTTTAAAAACATAAAAGTAATAAGGCTTCATTGTAAAAAATAATAGTACAGAAGTGAAAAGCTAACATCACCTCTCGGATCAACTAATATCATTTTCCATAAATAATTTGCATTTGTGTGTTGTTTTGAAGTATTTTTTTACATATATCAGCATATATGTCTTGTTTCTGTGTTTTACACAGTGGCATCATTTTGCACAGTTCTACAACCTGAATTCATGCCTTGGATATCTTTTTGTGATAGTTACTTATATATTTACCTCATTTTTAATAACTAGATAAGTATTCTTTTTAATAACTAGATAGTGTTCTTTTGTATAAATGTGTCATGATAGTTTAAACCTGTTCTGTATTGAAGGATGTTTGTTATTTCTAGTTTTCACTCTTACAATTAAATCTGTAAGGAGAAAGCTTGTCATATAGCTAGTAAGAGGAGGAGCCAGGATTTAAATAAGTTTGTACAATTAAATACTGCTCCATGCTACCTAAAATAGTGGTATAAAGGTGAGTAGGCCATAATTATCAAATAATACTAAGTGCTCTTATATAAGCATTTATTAAAAAAAAAAAACTAATAAAGATTCTTATTTAAATGTATGGGATTTTTGAAAGTAGAGATATAATTGACATATTAGTTTCAGGTGTATAACATGATTTGATGTTTATGCATACTACAAAGTGTTTACCACAGTAAGTCTAGTTAACATCCATCACCACAGTTACAAATTTGTCTTATGATGAGAACTTTTAAGATCTATTATCTTAAGAACTTTAAATGTGCAATACAGTATTACATCCCCATGACTTATTTATTTTATAACTGGAAGTTTGTACCTTTTGACACCCCCTTCACCTATTTTACCCACTCCCCACAAATGATAGTTTCTTAAAAGTAAAATAGCTAGGTCTAAAGATTATGTGCATTTTAATTTTTATGAAAAGTTAAGAATGGCGTTTGTACTATGCTAAAGACTTTTGACTTTCCTTCTGGGTAAAAGGCAGCTATCAGATACTTTAAAGCAGAGAAATAACAAATTTCTGTTTTAAAAGAAATAATAGCTTTTTGGAGGATGGCTAGCAAACAGGAGCTACTGTAAAATGATTTTTTTAAAAAATGAGTAGGTCCTAAGCTAAGGCAGTAGTGATGGGAGTAAAAAGGAGTAGAAAGTTATTTCAGAAATGGAGCATACCAGGTTTTTGGTGACTTTTTGGATGTTTTAGGAAGAATGAAATAGTACTCTGAGCTTAGGCAGCCGGTTGGAAGATGATCCTATTAATAATGTAGGGGATAAAGGAAGAGGAGTGAGTAAGCATGAGAAGAGATGAGTTTGGATTAGATCTGTTGAATATAAGGAGCCCGTGGAACTCGACAATGCATCAGAATTACTATGAAATATGTATTATGTTTAAATACATTATTTCTTCAAATATATTTTAAATGTCTTACACAGAATTGGCTGAAACTACAAAAAGCATTAAAAATTATAATTAAAAACTAATGTCACTGTAAGGGCTATGGAGTCAACTTCTTCAAAAGAATTTTTACATGACAAATAGATTAGGAGGTTAGTTTTGTAGTATCTTTCTCCCTGACATTGTTATTCATGAACTTAAAAGCTGAGTATTGTCACATTTGTAGAGCAAAATTAAAATCATGTATAATTGTTTTCATTTAAAAAGTGCTAAGTATCTACTATGTCATAATACTCTACTAGGTTCTGAGTGGTATGTTAAAAAGTTAAAGTTACTGTTTAGGAATTTACATTTCTACTTGAGGCAAATAAAGCACATACATTAAATATCTGAATAATCAAAGACAGTATGTGATTATCTGTTAGAATGAATAATATGGATAACTTACACATTAATAAAAGGGCCCATAATAGAGTCAGAAGAGGCCTTGTTGAAGGAAAGAATTTAACTTACATTAGGTGCCTTCTGTGTTCTGGGTAGTCACTGCAAAGTAAGCCTGCTATCTGTATTTACTGGTGAGAAATTGCTCGTAAGGAAAAGGAACTTGCCAGGATTCATAACTACATTTGTCTCCTTCTAAAGCCCATGTATTTTTCTCAGTGAGACTTATTTGTCAAAGATTGTTTTTGTTTTTGTTTTTATAACAGTTGTTTATCTTGCTTAAAATCTGATTGTCTAGCCTGAGTTTTAGGACCACATCTCACCACCAAAGACACTCTTTTCCTTCCCATTTAAGTGAAATTCCTTGTCTTGAAAAAACTTCATTGACAGCAGCGGAACTTCTAAACAGCAGTAAGCTAATCCATTTATCCAGTTAAAGTGATAAATTTTTTTTATCAAATTCAAGATGTTTTTGATACTTTGTCCTTTATAAGCTTATCATTAAGAAGCATGTTATTTGTTGATTGTTTTTTTTTGGAATTTGAAAATAGCTGAAAGACACATAACACCCATAACTCACTTTTATAACAAACTCTGGAAGCCTGGGGCCCCATATGGAGCCTCATTCTGTGAAATCAAAGAGGTCCTGAGAGCATTTCAGAAATCAGGGACATAGTGGTTAAAGGGAAGGGTGTAAATAAATAAGTGTAGTTGGCAAAAACATTATTTGCTATTTTATAGATTTCTTTTTTTCTATACAATACTCACTTTTTTAACTTGCTCTTTTGATATGAGATACTTTAAATTACAGATATAATGACACATGTTGATGTAAGAAACATCTAAATCTGTAGAGACTTTTTATAAGAGTTTATTTCAGCCAAACTGGCCATATGCCAGGAAGCAAGATCTCAAGTGTTCCCATAATGACACTTTCTTTTATATTTTTGGAAGTAAGGCAGAGAAATCTATGATTGGATTATAGGTTAGTTAACAAGATTATGTGCTCTTTTGAAGGTGGTTATACTTCCCTGGAGTCTGAAAAGGGCATTTCAAAGGTGTGTTAACTTAGATCAACAAAAACAATGGGTTGGGCTTGCTTAAGGCAAAGATAATCTTTTATTAGGGAATTTATAGGTCTGAGGCCTGACTGCCCACCATGATATTCCCAGTTAGGCATTTATGATCAGATCACCCTGTGAGATTAACGTTTGGTTAGATTTATTACAGAGCCCCTTTTTCTTCTACACACTCTACCTCTAAAATATTTCACTTTGCAAAGAAGTAACATTATTCTGACAAACAACATCACATTTAAAGATTTATTATTATGAATAGTAACCAATCTATATTGAAATTTCTTCAGTTTTAAAAATATCCTTTATAACTTTTTTCCAACATAGGATGATGCATTGCATATGGTGGTTATATCCCTAAGTCTTTTTTAATTTACTACAGCTCTAGAAATTGGCCACTTGCCCTGTAGAAAAGGGCTTCTCAAACGTTAATAGTGTACAAATCACTTGAAAATCTTGTTAGAATGCCTGTCTAGATTCAAAAACTCCAGGGTGGGTTTGAAGAGTTGGTGTTTCTAACAAGCTCCTAGGTGACCTATTGATCACACTGAGTAATAAGGCTCTAAAGTCCCACCTTCCAGATTTGTCTGATTGTTTTCTCCTGGTGTCTTTTGGCTAAAATTTATTTAACTTTGAAGATTATAAGCTTGATTAGATTTAAATTGCTCTTTTTTGGCTTCATAGCATACATCATACGTAGTTTATGAATACTTTTTACATCACATCAAGAAACAATTTATGATTGTTTCATCATTAGTGATGCTAAATTGAGCACTAGATTAGGGTAGTAGCCATGTAATCCTCCCATGTGACCAGGAAAAGTGAGGTCTTTTCTGCTTGTCACCTAGAAATTACTGTGTGATGTTACGTTGTTGTCACACAGATGTCCAGTTCTCTAAACCATTCACCAGTTAATAATTCTCTCATGAAGTAATGTTTCAGAGGCTGTGACAATTCTCAGTTGAATTTTCTTTGGTTTTTACTAACTGCCATTATTTTGTAGAGTTTTTCCCTCATCAACTGGGACTTTTTGGTTTCCCTAAAAGACAGTTCCTACTGAAAAAGCCAAGTTCTTCCCTTTATTTTCCAACTTTCAAGGTAAAGAGTTAGTCTAAAAGCCACCCCAATGGTGACAAATGAATTTTTTTCCTTATTTTCTTCCTTTGTTTTTTGATTATCATCTCTAAATTCAGATTTTCATACAAATAGTTTTAGTTAACTATTTCTTTGTTGATGCTCAAATTGTCACAGTTTTGGCTAATGGCTGCCTTTTTGAACTGCCTCGAACTTTATCCCTTCAATCTTTGCATGATCTCTTACTTGCTGGCTCAACAAGATAATCCAAACTTGTACTTCTCTACTGTAGGCGTGGAGTTAGCTGTTTCTCCAAGGACCCCTGGATGACACCAGAAATGAAAACTTAGACTTTAAGGATGTCATTGATACTGGGTGACATTGTTTCTAGGCCTGTTCTGTGAACCGAACTAGAAAATACATATTTTTTAATCATAAAATCATTGCTATTTTCAACTTCAATAGTATTTTTAATTTTATGTGCTTTTTTTTTTTTTCTTACTACACTTGATTTCTTAGAGCAAGTCTTAAACGTCATCATTTATCAGAATCAACTGGGTTGCTTGTTAAGCTTGCCTAGCCCCAATCCCTAGAGTTTCTAGTTGAATCGGGCTCGGGTGAGACTCAAAAATTTGCATATCTAAGTTCTCAGGTGATTTTGAGGCTGCTGGTCCAGACGACACTTTGAGAACCACTGTCTTAGACCATGGTTTTCCCAGAGTAAAGGAATTGAGCCAAATTGCAGGTAATTTAGAGAAAAAATAGCCATTTCTTTCTAAGATAGGACACGTACTTTGCATATTTGAGAATAGAATGGAGAAAACGAAGAGAAATTTTGGTGCAGGAGGTGTGCGTGGAAGTGAAGGTGCCTCAAGCTTTGAGGAATTTACTTTTGGAGAGGCATGTTGTGAGAAATAGGATATTTAAGAGGCTAATATTTAATTTGGCAAGAGCTTTTTCTCATCAGAATGTAAAGGAAGGAGGGGTGGTTTGAACCAATTTGGATCCATTATTAATAACCTTTTTCCTGATATGTTTTGTATTTCAGATTAGGGCGCTTCAACTTCCCTAAAGTCTTTTTAATTATATGCGGCAAGTTAGCTGATTTTGATAAAGACTATAGGATCTTTGCTTAATTACTCATGATCTAAGTATATATAGGGAAACCTTAATCAGCAACTATAAAAATGAAGTCTTTTATGTAATTTGACTTTCTTGTTTAACTCATGAATCTGTCAGAAAACTTGCGATTTAGATCTCATTAATGAAAAAATCCATTTGAAAGCTATTTATATGGCACTGCTCTCTGTAGGTAAGGTAGGAAATTAGATTATGCTATCCTAAGAAAGAAGAACAGGTTTAAGTTTCTGCTAACATTTTGCCTTTGTCTTCTAAAAAGGAAAAAAGTTGCAGTAACAATTTTACTACAATTAGGTATATTTCTTTAACATCTTTTAAATGGGCAGTACAGGCATTTTCAGATCTCCATTCAACATCATGTTTAGGTTTTTTTCTCACTTAAATGATTTCTTTTTTCATAAATTCTTTTTCTTAAAACTTGAAATATTTTGACTTTAAATAATTAGTTAGATTTTTCTTTTTAAGTTTTTTAGGATTTGAGGGTGGTGGTGGGAGATTGGGCTGAAAAGCATCGTTATACATATCTGTTAATTGTTCTCTGCTGAAATAAAATGTTGCTTTCTGGGTGTTTGAGATATTTGAGCCATTTTCCCAAAAGCTCAGTGATTCCAGAATGCTCTGTTATTATTCCTTATTTGTCTGTTTCTTAACTTTGATGAGCTAGATGGGTAGGTGATGAAAGTTTTTTTCATGCATTATCATGTTTAAAAGCCTACTGCAGGTCACTGAAACTGTTGGAAGTCAGTAATCACCACTTAACGTCTGCCTGGTAACAAACAGCTGTGTTCACACTGATAGCTGTTAGATTCTTAAGTACTACTTGAATCCTCAAAAATTATATTCAGCATATTGTTTATTTTTAAAAATTATTTACAACTTGGTCAACTGTGTAAAGGCAGTAGTTTAGCCTTTTTTTGAAACTGATGAAAGTTGTAGGCTATCTTGATCAGAAGAATGCTTCTATGCTCCATTTTAGGCAAGCTGAATCCCTTAAACATAACATTACTAACCTATTTAATAAAGGCCAGTTTTCATGTAATTCGTAGACTCAATATTTGAGTCATTAACTCTTAAGCAGATTTTTAAAAAGAACTTCTATTTTCTAAATATGCTTGATAAAAATCTGTTGTGTATTTTTAAATAGGTATGATCTAGTGATTTTAGAAAACAAAAATTAAGATCTTTTAGGCACATTATTTTTTCCATACCGCTGTTCATGAAATGCTTACAAACGAACCTCATATATTGACAAAAACTACCTTTTTCCAGCCCACTTTTTAACTGGAAAAATAATTATAGTTTGCATTTTGTAATTTATTCCACAAAGAAAGCTTATCTTCCTAATATGAAGTGTTCCTATAATATAAAAAGACAATGATCAGAGAAGTTAGCCCTTCTCTTCTTAAAGCTATTAAAAGAGTACTCCTCTTACTGAATGAAAGTAGAAGAAACCACCAATTTATTTTTTAATGGACTCCGCTAAGACTCTAACAAATAAAGAGAAAGTAAAAAAGATAATGTTTATAGGATGGTTTTAGTATTGCTCTATACTGTCTAATGTCCTTTATCCTACTTACTCCAGATAAATTTATGAAATTACCAATATGACACAAACTGCATGGCTATACTTGTAAATGTTGTCTTTAATTTGTAACCAATAATAAATTTTTTTGAGCTGCAAAATACCTTTTATACTGTTCCAAAAGTGTTTACTTATGCATGTATAATCATGTTAATTGGTAGAACTCAGGAAGATTTTGGGTAGTGGCTTCATTACGGTAACCAAGATTAGATCTTCTCTTACTCTAATTGCAAAATTTTTCTTCATTTTAATTGAGTTACTTCTTGAAGGATTATTTTAAAGGTTAAAACATCTAAACTAAATAACCATATTATTAGATGATATTTTTGCATGTTTTTGGGTTTTTTTTTTAACTTAATTATAAAATCGAAGTTTCGGAAAAATGTCTTTTGACTCCAACATACTTATTATATAGTCAGGCAAGTTAAAACTTTCTCTTTTCTTCCAGATAAAGCTTCACCAAGAAGGTTGCCCAGGAAACGGGCACAGAAGAGATCAGTGGGATTTGATGAGTAAATGTTCCTTTGTGCAACAATTCAGTCTTTACTTAACCTGCCCTAATGTTTTTCGGCCTGATGGGAATTAGTGCAGAGAAGCCATATCACCATAGAAGGCAACTACTACTTATGTGTGGACTGAGCAATCAGAGTCTATGGCGATAATATTGCTGAAAGTGCACTGCATTCATTTTTCTAAAGTAACAAATTTAGAAACCATTAAAATCTATGTGTGTGCGTGTGTATGTATGTGAACAGTTGGTCTTACCAGAATCATTGTTGAACTACCTGAAGCATGCCTTTAGAATACTAAGTATATTGTTTCTTCCTTTTTAACATTTTCTGATATTTTCTCCCCCAAATCAATATTTACCCAATATGATTATAGATGGTTCTGCCTTAGACTGTTTTAAAGAAAACAATTTGCTTTTTCCTTAGACTAGCTCAAATCCCAGTTGATGGTACAGATTAGTATTTTGTTATTGTTGCTACTTTACAACAGTATTCTAAAGGCACAAACAGGAGTGGCTGCTTTTTAGCAATAGAATTGTTTTGGTATTTTGCTGCTGTTTACTTTAATAACGCACCTTCAAAAAACTTCCCAAATGAGTTGAAGGAATTTGGGGATCTCTAGCAACAAAATTGTGAAACATGAAAATTCTGCTGATTTGATATATAAAATCAACCCCACTCTCTTTTTATCAAAAAGAAAATGGTATATTTGTGGAAACTGAGTTGTGTTGTCCATCATTGTTCTATTTCTGACCCAAGAGATAGCTTTGGAATGATTTTATACCTACTTAGTTTTTTTTAAAGAGATTATTTTTCTCTCTTTAATAGAAGCATTAAGAAAATGCTTAATGCTTTTGGCGTTGGTCTATAGACTAAGCAAAACATCAGTTAATAATGGCAGATGCCTTTCAACTAATTCTAATCTGTTTAAAAAAAAAAAAAATGAGTTGGGTGTTTTTTAAGTGGTTATTCACCAGTTGCTTTTTATCTAATCTTTTGGGGATTTTGGTTGTCGATATAATCTTTTTTAAGTTAAACTGAAGAATTCTAAAATTTTAAGCACTTAAAATCTAAAGAACTAAATTGGACTTGATAAAATCCTCTTACAGAGTTATTCGCCCTATAGGTAGTAAATTAAGTTTGGCATCATTGTCAGACTGGATAAAGGATAAAATATAATAGCGTGAACAAATTAGAGGCTTTTTCCTCTGTCGTTAAGCCATATTCTCCCACATATATTTTGTAAGGAAATGATAAATGAAATTTTATCAGCTGATTAATTCCTGGTTGTCTTCATTATAATGAATTAACCCCTCTTCATTATAATCCCCACCTATACCAAGGCCCACACAAAAACAAAACACCAAAAAAAAATCTTTCCAAGTTGCTTAAGTATTTACACATCTGAGCCAAAATCAGTGAAAATAAAATAGAAATTATTGGGTAGTTATTAATCACATTGCAAGTAGGGGCTATGGTGTCAAAATATCTGTGTTGGCATTGATGAACTATAAACTTTCTATACCTGTAATATAAAATGTTTGAGTTTTTAATTGAGCTGTATGAGCAGTAGTTTATTTTGAAAAGGCTCTATGAGCTCTAAGAAACTGCATGGTTTTTTGTTTAATGTAATATAGGAGACCCTCCATTTTCTCAAAGAATATATTCTCCAAATATTTTTGTGAATGTCCAAGTTTGTGAACCTACTAGAACATAATGCAGTGAGGTGTGATTACAAAATTTAAATAACCTCTGGAGAGTTTTATTGAATACCTGGTGACAGGTGCCAGCCCTTCTGACTCCTAAATAATTTGCCTTACATGTTAGCCCTTCCACTTCTGAGGTTCAAATTAGTGTCTCAGAAATAATTTGTCATGTTTTATTTTTTTAGCATAGATCGGGAACAGTTGAAAACTCAGATGCCAGGGGTCTTCTCTCGTATCAGTTAAATGTTTAGCAGAAACTAACTCCATAATAATTGGAATTCAATTCCACACATGGTTTGTTCAAGCACACTTAATAAGTAGCCTATTTTTAAATGTCTTTTTTAAATGTAAATATTTGGATGAAGTTTTTGTTTGTTTTGATATATTCATTTGCTGCATCAACCATGGTTTCAGAATTTACCTTGAACAGCTTGGTTTCAGAATCTGTAAAATGAACTAAGAATCTTGTGTATTAATTCAGACATGTGAGACTAATGTGTTCATAAAGCATGGATCTTGCTTTGGTTGTATAGCTTCATCATTCATTTCATGGTATTACATAGTGACTTTTAAAAGCCTTCTAAAGTGTTGGAGGCGGGAAAAGGAAATGGGACCTCCAAGGTAGAAGCAGAAAGAAGCCTGAGGCCTGAGGAAAACAGAAATCAGGAAGAAAGGAACCTTGACTTGATTTTAGTAAAGTTTTTAATTTTAAATAAGCCTCAGAAAATAGTTACTGACAGAAAAAGGCAAATTTAGATCTTAAAAAAAGAAAAAAACATTAAAAAGCCGGTGCCTTACAGATGTATTTGCAGTGCAACAGCATGGAATTGTATTTTGGCTCTATTTGGGAGAAGTAAATGATGGTAATGTGACTTCTAAACCTTTATTTAATGACTTGTGTTATTTTGGAGCTATAGTAGTGGATAAATGTAATATGCGAGGCTCATATAACATTTTTTTGTGGTACAATGATATCCATACCCTTGGTATGAAGGAGATTTCACTGGCTAATGCATTTAAATAATGATGTAGTTTTTTTTTTTTTTTTAACTATGAGTTGCAATACACATCTTTCACCAAGAATTGGATAGGTTATACCTTCGTTTTTCAGTCTTAATTTTATTTCCAAAATTAGATGTTAGCTTAAATTTTAAAACATTTCCAAATGTGCTTGAAGTAATTTACCAGTTTGGGACAGCATCGTTTATAGTTGTAAAATTAATAAATTTTTTCTGATTTTATTAAATAAAATCCTACTTTTCTTTGAACTATCTCCAGCATAGTGGAAAAAAAAGGTTGACACATAAATAAGACCCTTGTTACTAGTATAAGTGAAATGTTAGGTTTTTGTTAAGCTGATCTATTTATAAAACATCATCATCCTTAGAGGACATTAGGAGGGAAGGGTATAATGTAAGGTTTTACAAACGCCTAAATAATAGTTTCATTAGGACTCATGAATTTTACTAATTAGTATTTGCATGATTTTATCCTTTTTTCATTTACACAAAAGCTTGGCCTTTTACAGTTATGTAATCTGAAGCTCGAGTTTTTTTAGATTTTGGATTTATTTAGGAATATGGCACTAAGGTTTGAGTACCATTTAGCTGCCCTTTTTTTTTTCTTTTTAAATCAGCCCTGCACTGCTTTCTGTTGAGACTTTTCATTCATCATCTCAAACCTTCAAAACATCCCACTGAAAGAAGGTGATACTGTTATTATATATAGATGGGAAAAAAAACCTGAGTGCTCAGGGTCATACATTGAATATGGATTCAGAGCTTTCTGATTCTAAAATTCACACATTCTTTCCCCTTCACTGTGTTTAAGATAAAAATTTTTATAAAATCAAGCATTTGGACAACTTAAAAATACTTCATTTTCTGGAATCCAGTCAGAAAGTCCAAATAACCTCCATATCAAATATACTATATATAGACAAATGCACATACTTGCTGTACTGTACAATAGTGCATAAATGCCACTCAACTCTAAAACAATATAAAACCCCAAAGAGTCTGCTGAGCTGTTATAAATTGATTGTGTTGTTTGTGATATGTATCTACAATTTGAAATTTAAGACTTCATTTTTTATATTTCAGTTAATCCCCAATACCCTATTACATCTCACCAATGACATATTTCTTGAAAAGTCCCACTGATTAACAAAATCATGATATTTAAAAACATTTTCGTCAAAGTAGACTTCCTAGTTTAACTGGGTTTTCAAGTTAGAAAGGGTTGAAAGATTCATCTTCATGTTAGAGATGATAGCGAAGTAAGTATCTGTTCTTGGGTTGCACAACCTAATAGTGGTAGAACTGGGATTACAGGTTAGGTTTCTGTTTGTCTTCTTTCTGTTCAAATAAGGATTTCTCTTAATAGGCACAATGGAGCATTAAAGAGAACACATGAAGGAAAACTCTTATTTGAAATGCATAAGTCACAGCCAAAGATGATTTGACAAGGGCTTCTTTTTGTTCCCCTGCCGTCCTTTATGTAGATTTTTGTTGTACCTGTGACAATCATCTTATTGACATACCTGAATCCCTCTGCTGGACTGTGAGTTCAATGTCTTGTTTGCCTTTATTCCAAGCTTCTAGTTCACAATTGCCAGGGGGAAACCTATCACGGGTGTTAAAAGAAAGAACAAAAAAATGTGGCCCAGTTTCATTTGCCATTCTTCTGTGGGATTGTGTTCAGAAGTATTGCTGGTGATAACCCAGTTCCATTGGCAGTTCTACAAGGTCGCACAAAGAGAGGTGGTATGGTGTGCTAGTTTGGGGATTAGGATGTGGTCAGCCCTCGCCGCTAACCAGTGATGACCTTCAAAAGGCAGCTCATATCCGGATTCTTAGTGTATGCTTTCTAAATTGAGAGATACTTGAAGTGTCAGTCCCAAATTGTCTGATTCTGTTAATTACATACCCTTACCTAATACAGTGTTATTAAATGATTCTTCCTTAAATCTCCTTTACTCAACAAAGGAAAAAAGAACTAAGGTATCAGGCTGCCTGGGTTCAAATCCCAGCTCCCTCTTCTTAGTTGGAGGCAAGTTATATAACCTCACTGGGCTTCAGTTCAGGGTGTTTAGAACATTGTTTGGCATGTAGAAAGCCATGTAAGTGATTGCTGTTGCTGTTGTAAGGCACCATATTGTCATAACATTCCAGGAAGTATATGAGGGGGAAGTGAATATGGTCCTTTTGGGGCTTTGGTGTGGAGTGATAGTTAAAAGTCTACTGAATAGAAAAGTTAAACAGTATTCTAACTAAAGAGTAAAAGTCTTAAGATGGTCATGAAATGTAGTTCTGTGGATTTAATAATGAACAGGAATAATACGGCTGCCAAGAGGAGTTTTTGTTGCTGTAATAAATCTGTTAAAGCCTGCCATCTAATTGAGAATTATCTTTTTCAAAACACTTGAAAGGCTCCATGTTTTCCGTATCTCCGTTTTTGAAACTCAGAATTTCTTTCAGCTTCGGACTGTGAGCCACCCAAAGGGATTCAGTCTTTATATATTTTTAGAAATCCATTTGTCTGGTCACCCATCCTATTCACATTTGTCAAAATAGGTGCTCAAGCTTTAAAGGCATTTTAGAAAGCAGAGTGAGAAATATTTTAGTCAAGAATAGTATTTGGATTGAGCAAATATAAAGCATCTGCTCTGTGCTCTTTCACATACATTCTCATTTAATCCTCAACTACCCTAGATAGTGAATAACCCCATTTTCCATGGTGACACAGCCTCAAGAAGACCAGCGATACCCACATTGTAGATTTGGTCCATTGCTCTCTCCAGCTTTGTTGGAAAAAGGTACATGAACACTTCATCAGGGAGCACATTCACATTAATGCACAGAACATATTTACCTGCGTTCTGATTGGAACATTTAGGATTTGCTTGATATTTTCTCTGAGGTAAACATCTGTCTCACCACCCAAAGTCAAGCTACATTTATAAATACTCTTGACAATGGCCTCTTGAAAGGACCCGTTGCCTTCATCTTTGGTAGAAGATTTAAAGCAGTGGTCCTCAGTGCACATGAGAACAATATAAAACCCCAAAAAGCCTGCTGGACTCTCACCTTGAACCCTCTTGGATTTATTATCAGAGTTGCATGTATTTTAAGGTCTTGCATTTAATATCCCATTCATAATCGTTACCTTTTCATGGCTAAAAGTACTGTTAATGTATTTTTAAAATTTGTACAAGCTGATGGCACTCTTTTGTCTACACTAAGGGGAAATAAGATCTAGAGTAGTCTCTAATCTGCTCGTCCTGAAGCTGTCTGCAGAGAAGACAGTGGCAGAAGATCACTCTAGATGTTGGTGTGAGAATGTTTTCTCTTTCGAACTTAGTTGAATTCCACCTGGATCACACATACTTGGTTTGTACTGAAGCCTCTGCCTAGAATTACTCTTTCTGGTACTACAGTGGCCTTTGACATGTGGCCGATGGCCTGATTTCAAGGAGGAATCCTGTACATGTGCTGTCTTGGTCATGTCTGTACAGTGAAGACTTTACTGTGCCAACTGCAAACTACACAAGGCTTTCACAACTATTAACTGAGTCTTACTCATTGTCACCAGGTTCTGTCTTCCAGATTCTTGAGAAATCTTATGTCCAGGTGTGCACCCCTTTTCCTATCGCCCTCTCCATCTCTGATTTCTTTCCTGTTGTATCTACCTATACGAGAACCTTCCTGCCTTGAATCTTTTGCATAACCTTTCCTTTCTAGCTACATTCCTGTTTTTGTTATGTTTCTCCCTTTTTGTGAAAATATCATCTAAGCTATTGGCTTCCTTTTCTTTACCAAGCTTTCAGTCTTTTAAATTTCCTTCAATTTAGCTTCGCCCCCCCCCAACCCCCCCAAAACAAATCCCGTTCTCTTGGGATCTCATGGCTCTCTACTTGCCAGCCTTCTTCAGTCTTAGTTCTTCAGCCTTGACCTGTGCATATAACTCATTGACTACCACCCCCCAATTCTCTTTAGCTTCTGTGACCGGCTGTTATCTCTTTTTCTTGTTTCCATTGAGTAACCCCAAGCTCAGGCTCCTTGTCCCTCTCTCTGTTAACTAGCCTTTGGAGAGTTCTCATCACACTTATCATAGCTTCCTCTGTTAGCCATGTTTATTACCTCAACTCTAATTTTCTAGATATAAATTATTTTCTTAGTGACATTCTGTGATTCGATTTTACTTACATTTACTGTGACTCTAAACCAACAAGTTACGGGTGTTTATTTCCCTCCATAAGCCTCCCCAGTCTTCTTGTCATTCTTCAGTAACATGACTCCCATTTGTCCAACATTAAATTTTAAAGAGCCCAAGTATGGTGACTTACACATAAGTATATATTAAATACTTACTAATTTTAGCTCTTTTATGAATTAGATTTCACTTCTTTTTGCTTCAAAATCTAACAATTTTAGAACTTTAAAGAAATTTGAATTCAGTATAAGCAATGTACCTCTGGTTCAAAATATATATATTTCCTAATTCACTACAGGAGATCTCGGGTTTGCTATTTTAATTCTAGCACTTGCACACTTGCAATGTGATTTCTGGCAGTGTGTATTAATCAGGTTATTTATGATAAAAACTTCTGCAGTGTGAGGTGTTATCTGTTGACTGAGAATGTTATCTTGCTCTCTTTTAGGACTTTGTTTTTAGTGAAAGTGAGAGTAGTGAATCCAGAAAACTCTTGAGCAGCTTTGAGAAATGTTCCTGCTCTATAAGTATCTGGAAATCAGTTTTTTCAGTTTGGTAACCCCAAGAGCACCTTTTTTCCTTGGTTACTTCCATCAGTCTGCTTAAACACTTCTGCTGTCCCATCAGATGTATCTTTTTAATTAACATATCCCTTAATTAAAGGTGATCTTCAAAGTATTTGTGTGTAATATGAAGTGTTTCCTAAAGTGCCAATGCATATTACTGCTAGGTCTTAAAGATGAAAAGGACAAAGTGAATCTAAAGTTTTAAGCAAAATAAAAGAAAAAAAAAAACTACAATACTGATCTTGATTTTCTTCTGAATTTATAAAAAGTTTCACACATTTCTGCATATAAAATTTAGACGTTTTAAGTAACAGTCTTGTTTTAGAATAAAGATGATTAAAGATGAGTTTTACATGTGCTCTTTGGTTGTCAGCTAGTTGACTTTTCAGGTGATGGTCATAAGACTGCCTGCCGCCCATCCACACAGGTGTGGAGAGTTTAGGTTCACAGTAATTGTAAGGACTGCATATTCTGACCATGTAAACATT